GGGCAGCTTGGCTGAGGTGTCCCGGTTTTCTTGCTGGTTGTCTCCCATCCCATCATACGTAAACCTGCCTGCTCCGTTTTGTTGGTGTGCTGCAAATACCCTTGAATCCCTTCCTGCCTCGTCCTGAAGTCGTCAGTGGCCAGCCTGTCCGTCCTTGTATCGAGTGATACCATCTTCGTTGCTTTTGTCCCTTTACCTTGTACCCTTTGCTTCTCCTTGGCCTCCTACTCTCCCCTCCAACTGAACTCCTTAAATCGGGCCAATAACTTCTCTTCTCACAATACACAACATGTCTTCACCGGCGTTGGTACCAACAACCATCGAAGAGGGGGCCGTTCTCCCTCAGACGCAAAGACCATCTCTCCTTCACGGCCCAACAGATCCTCCTCTGGTCGACCTCACACTGGGAGAGCTGCTCAACCTCCAATGTCTGCACCACGGCACACAAGAAGCTCTCGTCATTCCATGGACTGGCGCAAGATGGACATACAACGAGCTCAACCACCAAAGTCAGCTCATGGCACGCGCTTTGTTGGGACTAGGAATTCGTGTAGGCGATAGGGTGGGCATCATGGCTGGAAACTGCGAGCAGTATGCGTCTCTTTTCTTTGCTGCCACGAGGATAGGCGCCATCCTCGTCATCCTCAACAACACGTATACCCCTACCGAAGCTCAGTATGCTTTGGAGTTCTCAGGTATGCTCCTCCGCGCACCAGCCACGCCCGGTATCGGTCCTAGTCAAGCTCACCCTTTCTAGACTGCAAGGTTCTCTTCACTACCAAGAAGATCGGTCGCCTCGATCAAGGGCCCCTGCTCGCCGAGCTCAAGATGAAGTCCAAGGCCCCCAAAGTGGTAATTATCAGGGAAGATAGCGAAGATTACCAGACGTATGATCAGTTGCTTTCTCAAGGGTTCAAGGTTAGCGTAGAACGTCTGCATCACATGGAGAGGAAGGTCCTCCCTCACCTGGTTTGCAACCTCCAGTTCACCAGTGGCACGACTGGCCTGCCCAAGGCCGCCATGCTCACGCATCAGTATGTCCATTTCCTATACTCATCAAACCTGTTGCCCCCCAGCTGACATTGTACCAGCAACATTGTTAACAACGCGCGCTTCATCGGTGACCGTATGAAGCTGGGCCCCGACGACGTTCTGTGCTGCCCCCCTCCTCTTTTCCACTGCTTCGGTCTTGTCCTTGGCCTCATGTCCGTCATGACCCACGGCGGCAAGATCGTCTACCCAGCCGAGGTTTTTGACGCACCCGCTACCCTCAAAGCCATCGTCGACGAACGCTGCACCGCCGTCCATGGTGTCCCCGCTATGTTTGACAGCATCCTCGCCCTCCCCGAAGCCAAGGATCTCAAGGCTGCCGATTTGCGTCTAAGGACAGGCATCATCGCCGGTGCCCCCGTGCCACGCTACCTGATGGAATTGCTCGTTTCGAAGCTTGGCATGACCGAGTTCACGTCAAGTTACGGACTGACTGAAGCGTCCCCGACCTGCTTCAACGCGCATACCGATGACCCGATCGACGTAAGGTTGACTACCGTCGGCACTCTGATGCCCCATGCCCACGCCAAGATTGTGGACAGAGATGGCCAGATCGTACCTATCGGCACCAAAGGAGAGCTTTGCATTGGTGGCTACCAGCTGCAAGCGGGATATTGGAACAACTCGGAGAAGACGAACGAGGTGATGATGAGGGATGAGTCCGGCATGTTGTGGTTGCACACCGGCGATGAGGCCGTCTTCAATGAGCAGGGATACTGCTCTATTACCGGACGCTTCAAGGACATCATCATCAGAGGTATGTTTCGTCATCACTTTCAGTTTAACCCAATACGCCTCCTTTCATGCTAACCTCGGCGGGCACACAGGTGGCGAAAACATCTACCCCCTCGAGATCGAGGAGCGTCTCATAGCTCACCCGGCCGTCTCCATGGCCGTTGTCGTGGGCCTCAAGGACCAGCACTACGGCGAAGTCGTCGGTGCCTTCCTCGGACTCGAGAATGGTCATCAGCCAATGAGCACAGAGGAGGTGCGCGAGTGGTGCAGGCGGAAGCTGGGTAAGCACAAGGCTCCCACGCACGTCTTCTATCTCGGCTTGGATGGCGTGCCTAGCACGGTCCCACTCACGGGAAGCGGAAAGGTGCGCAAGTTTGAGATGGCGCAGCTGGGTAATAAGCTATTGGAGGAGAGACGCAAGACTTCCAAGCTCTGAGGGAAGAAATTAGACGAGAAGAAGGTGCGCTTTGTCAATTTCTTGGGTATGTGCGAGCAGGGTAGCGAGGGGATAATGGCATGTTCATATTGTTTTCATTTGTAGGATAGATAAAATAATAATGGGAAAAGGGAACGGAAAGAAGAAAGTACTTGTTTCTATCTCTAATCCGCCTGTCCAATTCGTTGTTGAAGTGCGAAAAGCAAATTGATGAATTACGCGACAGACCCAACCAACCATGAAAGGATGAATTATCGTCTCGGATTAATGCAGAAGGATATTTTAGCGAGGAAAAGAGCACCTGTGTCCGAGGTGTTAAGTAACGAAAGAGCGGATGATAGATTACGCAGACGAGAACAACAGATGGAAATGAGGGGGAGAAAAAAGAAGCCAAAAAAGAAAACATTTTGCGCCAGCCGCGAATCGAACGCGGGGCCCATCGATGGCAACGATGGATTTTACCACTAAACCACTGGCGCATCTCATTGGTTGATACTAAACATGAGAATTACAGAATTGTATAGAGCAGAGTACACCGAAAAGGACGCTACATTTCGTAACGCGTGGAAGTCATACCCAACCCAGGTTTCCATTTCCCGGTGAATACAAGGTGGTCCTGGCAAGCCATCTGCTCTTGGAACAACCAGGCCGCCAATTAAGCAGTTTCTCAATTCCTTGCTCCCAAATTCTCAACTTTTCACTTTGGGCAGAACTCATAAGCACAAGAGGCCAGTTACGAAGATGGAAAGAAAGGAATGGAAGGAGCTGTAGATGTTAAACCAATAAATAATTTGAGCATGTGCTGTGCCTTCCTAAAACTTCAGCCATTACATGTGCTACTTTCCAGCTTCCATTTACCATTGTACATCAAAATTCAGGACACTCAACTTGAAACACCTCGTACCTCCCTTTTTCTTCAACTTTTTCCCCTCCCCCACCTTTTTTCTTTTCTTTTTTTTTTTTCCTTCACCAGTCAGCAACACCATCCCGTCCTTCTTTCCATTCGGTTCCTTATCCCGGAGCTAGCTCTAGCCCCTGTTCTAAGTGTAGTCCTCCTATCCCCTAACCCACCCCTCCAAAAAAAAAAAAAAAAAAAAAAAAAAAAAAAAAAAAAACCATCTAGTACGATACCAGTACATGTTCTCATCCAGCTTGATCGCCTCAGCCTCAGCGAGTATGTCTTCCAGATTTTAGCCAACGTCGGTGTACTTGCTTCGCAGTATGTGCTTGGCAACTCCAGTAGAGAGTGTGACATAGGTCATGCCATTGAGGTACGGGGGATCGTTGTAAGGGGTGTTGAAGGCGCTGGTGAAAGCGGACTGTGTGAGCACTGCTGATGATACTGTTTGCCGTTTCGTGAGCCTCGGGAATTTGAGGAAATTGGAGGGTAATTTCGTTCGCACCGACCATCCGCGTTTCTCCAGCATATAACGGTACGGTATCAAGGGACGTGACACTCGCCTGTTTAAGCACATCCTCACAATCATTGAACTCAGCAGCATTACATTTGATAGAGAACACATCACTAGCTTTCAGGTTGACGCATCCCTCCTTGAGTGTAGTCGTTGGTAGGGTGTTGTTCTTGTACGTCAGGACCAGTAAGGGACCGGTGACGGCGAAGGACTCGGCGAGAGTCTGAACCTATATGTCACCCCGGCAGAGCCTTTTAGGGCTTGTGGTAGTAGCATGCAGCTTTGAAAGCCCCATTGTAAGACATGACAAACATCTTAGCGTGATGATAGTCATCTTGTTCAGGAAAGCGCCTCTGAATTTATTGTGGTGAATGAAAGGGAAGACATTGTGGTGAGAGCGGGGAGCGAAGTGGGGTCTCGTATTTGGGCGAAATAATTCACACATTACTTCAAGGTGTATTGTCAAGTCTTATCTAGTATCCAGAACCTTGGGTTTATTCTTCTTGGGGATGGATCGTGTATTGACTTCAGTCAACCGATCGCAGAGCCAACACCGACAGGAAGTTGGGCGTCTGATGAAAAGTCAAACCCCGAAGATCCAAACGCCGGCAAACCTATGTCGGGGGAAAGGGTTAATATTGTGTCTATATACATTCGAACACGAAATCTGGTTGTTTCATCTACGTTCGTTGTATTTACCGCGAGAATTACCCACGACGAACTGTGTGCCTCAGGTACAAGTGCTGAGCATAGTATGAGTTGCTTATAGCTTTTTGGTACTGCGCGCTTAACTAATCAAATCATAGCGCCAGTGGTTTAGTGGTAAAATCCATCGTTGCCATCGATGGGCCCCGCGTTCGATTCGCGGCTGGCGCAGATTCAATTTCTTTTTTCTTTTCTTTCCCACATGCAGACAGTTTCATCCACCTTTTTGCTCCCCCCTTTGTTTGGTTAATAATGCAGTCAGAATCGAACTTTCGCTCTCCTTACGGCTTTTTGTATTGATGATATCTCCTTTATTTGATCAAATACTCGATCAAACCCTGTATCTGTAGGTACAGCGCAACATTGCCAAATACATTATAAATATTGAACAGACAGTAAGTAACCACTCTACTTTTCAGCACCGATGATGCAACGATAACGAAACAGTCAAGCTCAAGAACACGTTCGATATAATTCATCGCTTCATTTCATAAGCGTACTCCAAGCCCTCCAGCAGTGGTATCTATCCATGCAGTGTCCATCATACCCCAATACCAAATCCCATATCATAACACACGCCACGCCATGCTATGCTGTGACTCTTTCCTACTTTGTATAAAAAGCAAATAATTGCAGGCCAGCTTGACCCAGCTCAACCTACTTTTACAACACAGCCAATGAAAGATTTGCTCTCTTTACTCTCATTCGTAAATTCAAAGAGCTCCTTCCCTCGCACAGAACCCACTCAATCGCCTCAAAACTCAATAAACATATACTTCCTGATCAAGACTCTCGAAAACCCATGCTAAAACATGGAAACAAACACAGCCCGCTCGCTCATTCAATTCATGAAGCACTCCTGCCCCTCCTCTTGGGCGCCGGCGTCCCATTAACACTCATCCCCAGCCCCGCAGCAACCCTGCTTGCCCGTCTAGCAGCAGCAGTGACAACTGTCTTGCTGGTTGCGGCAGGTTCAGCCCTGGTCTTGATGACTTTGTGAGGGGTGGAGGTTGTCGACGTTGTCGATGTCGCCGGGGATAGCCTCGGCCTGCCAGGACCACGATGGAGGGCAGGGGGAGGCGGAGGTGGGGCGGCGGGAACCGAAGTCTTCGGCTTCGTGGTGGCCGTCACCTTGATAGGCGTCGGGACAAGTGATTTGCCGGAGCGGGTGGCGCGCTTGGGTGGGGCAGTGACCTTGGACAACGAGGTGGTGGGTTTTGGTGCCGGTGCCGGTTGTACTTTCGTTGTTGGCGTAGGGGCGGGCGCGGGAATGGGCGGAGCGCCAGCAGTCCGCCTAGTTGATGGTGTCGTCGCCGTCGGAGTCGCGACCTTCCTAGGCTTGGGGATGGAGGGTTTAGAGGTGGCCTCCGAAGCCGAATCGGTCCGGCTCTTAGCCTGGCTCTTTGATTTGAGCACCCTGGGGGTAGTAACCTTCTTGGAGCTCACTACTGGCTCATCAGCAAGCTCATCGATATCGTCGTCAAGGGCGGCATCTGCCTTGAGAACATCGGCAAGGAGAGAGCTGGAAAGAGCCCGAGTTTTGGAGTTAACAGACGGTGATGCTTCATCATCCTGGAACCTAGCCAGAGTTTCCGCCCACCGAACCCCCTTGTTCTTCTTTTTCTTCTCAGTCTCTATTGCTTTGTCGTTGTCAGCGGAACTAGAGCTATACACGTATTCTTTCCCTTGCTTCTTCATCTTTTCCATCTTCTTGAGCACGATCTGTGGGAACAAAGCGCTGCCCTTGTTTTTCCGAGTATTGTATCTCGTGACGGTAGCCAGATCCTTCTGGTCGCTACGCGCTCTGACCGTATCCATCATCTCCATCCCGGGCATGCGCACTGGAATGGTGGATTTAGCGATCGAGTTGGCGGATGGCGCCGATTTGAGGTTGATAAGGGTCTTGCGTTGGCGCGAAGACCGGCGAGGAGCACCTTCCGAATCCTCACCCTCAACAGGAGATGGGGAGCTCTCAACCAACGCCTTCCGACGCTTCACCGTCCGGGTGACAGGACTCTCTCCGGTCGTCTTGGGGCACTCCTCCTCGCTGGGTTCATTGCCCAGCTCGTCAAGCTTACGCTTTTTAGCTGGACTAGGGCTGTTAGGGCTCTTCTCGCTGAGGGGCGTCCTTTTGGGAGGAGTTTCAGAGTCCTCAGTAGGGAAGCCAGAATTGCCCTTGGGTGGGCTTCTATTTTCGAGTTCAGCTGCAGCGGCTGCTTTGGCACTCTTATCGGCGGCGACTTTGCTGATGAACTTCCGGATCATATCCGTCTCGGATTCTTCGTGCAGAGATCGCAAAGATAGAGTATCGTTTTCGACACGGAGGGGCTGCTCAGCGATCAAAGACACGTCGTCCTCATCGCTCGTCATCGAGTCCTCCGCCTCAACTTGTTCCACAACCTCGATTTCGTCTCCGCTGTTTGCGTCGTCGGAGCCGTCAGGAGACGATGTCGAGCCTTCCGAGGAATCTTCCGGGGTATTGCTAACGTCTTCTGACTCAGTAGCCTCAGCTTCACTGGGATCGCTCTCCTCCTCGGGAGTTGTGTCACGGATCTGGGAGGTGCTGGAGTCCTTAGGCGCATCTGCGCTAGAGGGTGATACTTCGTCAATGGTAGGTGGTTCAGCAGACATTGGATGGTCAGCAGATTCATCTTGTTCCATGACCGATGATGTGTCGGAGGCCCCATCCTCTTTATCCTCAGCAGGCGGGACACTAAGTTCGTTAGCATCCTTGTCCGTGCGAACAAAGGAGTCGACAAAGGAGGCTGACGAATCAATCTCTCCATTGTCTCTCACACCACCGCTCCGGGGTGATGAATGAGACACAGCTATGACATCTTCCGTCGCAGCAACGTGGTTCTCAGGCATTGTAAGGCCATCCTCGGAGACGGTTTCACCGTTGGGTGAGGATTGCTCCTCGTGACCCAACACCGCTTTGGGACTTGGCAGCCTACCATCCTCATCCTGAACAGTGCGACAGGGGCTGTTGGGCTCAATTGGGCGAGTAACATCATCATTCTCTTCCTTTATCGGACTTTCGTGTGTCGCTGGCTGCCTATTGTGCTCCTCAGTATTCACAAACTCCGCAGAGGGTTCAGACCGGATGGAGGATGCATCTTTAGCTGTTGTTTCCGGAATGCTGTTTTCTACGTCAGGAACGGGGGAAGCCGGTGTCTCAGTATCCGAGGTCACGGTTGTGGCTGGACGGGGAGATTCAGCCTCAACAGTAATGGTATCTTGGTCAGCAGCCGACGGTAGAGGTATTGTCTGCTGGATGGAACCCGAAGAGGCAACTGCATTTGCAGAGAGGTGGTTGACGTTGCCATCGGCACTGATTGCAGAACAGGGGACACTGATATCCGTGATTTCGGGCGACGGTTGGCGAGACATTGGACTAGAGGTCTTTTCCTCAACAGTTTCTTCTTGGGTGGGGTTTTCCTTGTGAGAGAAGATAACAGGCGAGGCGTTTATCTCAAGTGCTCCGAGCGTTGCCCGAGGAACATGTGCCGGGCTAATTGTCATGTTCTGGGGGACTTCATCGGAAACCTTGTCATCATGATCGGCAACGATAGCATGCGAGGCGTCGTCGCCATCACTTCCTGTGATGGTTTCACAAGCCGCCTCAATTTCCGAAGGCGTCTCTTCAGGCTTTTCTTTAGTGGACACAATTTCCTGCTGGGAGGCAGCAGGAGATGACGCTCCGAAAGTAGATTTCTCAGCGGCTGGTGCGGACGGCGCCTCAATGAGTAGTTCATGCGCCGCAGAGTAGCGCCTATGAGAAGTAGCAGACGGCTGCGCGCCAAAACCGAACTTCTCAGGCGTTGCCCTCCGGAGAGGTGTCGGGCTGGAAGGCGCCTCACTGGGAAGCTCATGTAGTACAGGAGTGCCCTCCTGGTGCATGGCAACGGGAGAGGATGCGTCAACACGAGGCGTTCCAAGATTGACCTGACCAAGAGGCGTTGGGCTTGAAGGCTTCGTTGGCGACGATCTGGTGGGCAGGTTGTGATGTTTGACAGGAGTAAATGTCTCTAGGATAGAATCTTCCTCCTCAAGAATGGTCGATAATCCTTCAGGATGTAAGGGTTCAAAGCCATCATTGAGCTCAGTTTCTGTGTTAGTTGGTTCCTCAACAACGAGCGGTGCCGGGGACTCTTTCCTCTCGGGTTGTTGGTCCGGAGAGATAGGCTCAGGGCTAGGGTCCCTGGATGCCTGTGCAAGGGGCAAGTTTGCATCGTTCTCGTTGTTTGTCACGTCCCCGGCGATATCGACGGCCGCCATTAAAGGAGTTGCGGGCGCAGATCCAACCGGCTCAACGGGCATAGAAACACCGTCATCAGCCTCTGAAGGCGACGCAACGGTGGGTTCCTCGACAGGGATTTGCGCACTTCGAGTTGGGGTTGGGGTCTGTACCCACGGTCGGACATCCTTCCTCCGATGACCGAAGATATCCAGGTTCGTCCCAACGTCAACCTCCAATGTCCGCGAAGGCGCATGTGGCGCCGGTTCTTGCTCAGCAGTTTGCTCTTGGGCGTCCTCCATGTTCTCTCGCGCAGCTTGGTCTTCGGAGCCAATGCAAGATGGATCCACCGATTTTCGGCGACTGGTCATGGTGGCATCCGCAACAGCTTGTACTGCCAAGCTGAAGCTGTGGCGTCGTTCTGGGGCATCGCGCTCAAACTCTTTGAGAAGCCTAGTAATGAAGCTGGGGCGATGCTCGCTTCTCCTTGCCGAAAGCAGCGAAATGCGTCTCCTGTTCTCATGCTCTGGAACTGACGGGGTCTCCGGAATAGGCTGGTCGAAGAGTAAAGGCGACAAGTGAAGAAGATGCGCAGGTGTGACTTCGCTGTCCGATTCGGAAACGCTTGCTGGTCGGATGGGCGTAGACTTGAGAGGGGTGGATTTGAGAGGGGTTTGTGCCGACAGGCTGGACCTCGACGGTTTGAGGATAACCTTTGTAGGAGTGGCACTGACCCTAAACTTTCGTAGTGGCGACTCGGCGACCTTTCTCGGGGACGATAGCTTTGTGGGTGACCGCTTGACTGGCGATAGGATGCGGGACTGTGGCGGTCTGATAGGTGAAAAGTCCATCTTGCTGGGCGATTCCTCCGATGGGATGAGTGACAGGCGGCTGCTAGCACGACGTGTCGATCGTCTCATCAATTGCTTGCCCTGGATCTGATGAGCTGGTTCGACCGTCTCGGGTTCGGCCGGCACGTTAAGCTCCATGTACGGCTGCATTTCGGCCAGCATGCGCGTAGGTTTCGTCGGTCGCTGGAGGGGCCAGCGCGAATTGTGTCGCTTTCTGGGGACGTAGTTGAGGCGGTCGTCGGGATAGGTAGCGCGTCGGGCTAGGATCTTTGCAACGAGGAGAGGATCGGGTGCTTCCCTGGCCAGATAGCTTGCTGCTGCCGAAAGGTAGGCTCTTGCCTCGGCCAGGTCAGGGGTTCCGTTGTGGACGGCATAGTATCTCTCGTCGACATTGTAGTTGGCAAAGGTCGGTACGTATCGTTCGCTGCGCGCGCGTTTTCGCTGTCCTCGGCCTCGACTGTCGAGCTCTACGAAGGCGGGGTCGACGGGTGGAGGAACAAGCAAACCACCAACGCGCTTCCAGATCTGGCGCGGGCCGCAGCGGCGGAGAGCAATAACGGGGACGCGCTCCCATGCTTTGGGAGAGGCGATATGCGGAGGTGCTAGAAAGTCGGCTGCGAGAAATGGTCGCCTGCGATAAGACACAGATGCGCGGTAAGTCATCATGTCCATGCGACAAGGTAAAATAAGTCTCGTAGGCGGTGACAAGACAGAAGAGGCAGACATACTCTTTGGAAAATGTGAAGATGGGAGTTTCGTGGAGAATGGCAGCGTTCAAGGCGCCGCCCGTAAAGTCCACCATTGTCGCAATTGGTGTCCCCGTCATGCAGCGACGTCTTTATGTCTTAGATATGTGTTGTTGTATAGTGTGTAGTGTATTGTGTTTAGCTAGGTATGCAGGATAACCGTGGTTCGTTGTCGCGCTGCTTGGACAGGAGACGGCAGTGGCTGCGATGAGTCCCGATGTAAACAAAGGTCGCTTTGCAAGAGAGAAAAAAAGACAAAAAGGAAAAAAAAAAAAAAGAAGAAGAAAAAAACTGGTTTGCGGAAACAGCAAGCAAATACGCGCCGAAAGTTATGCTTTGCCAACAATGCAATGGGTATCCGTCATGAGTCGTCGTGAGTACCGAAAAGGACGTGGGAAAGAAGAAGGTGTCGCATGTGTTTCTTTGCAAAGAGTGAGGGCCGCCGGGGGGTAACCTTCAAAGCAACAAATCGCGAAGCCACGGGAAGGTGTGACTTGTTGAGTGACAAACCCTCCAAAGTCTGTTTACATGCCGAGCAATCCGCCAATCATCTTGCACCGAATCTGGAGCTACATACTACATATCGCTATGCCAAGAAGCCACGCTCCACCTGCTTTCTACCCCACGCGGCCTGACGCCTGTGCCGCGAGCAAGACCAAAATTGAGGTACATACACCAAGTACCTCGACTGCGTTGCCTGCCTGATGCCGCTCTGTGACTGCACCCGCCTTATCTTCACGTGATCCCGAAATCTTTCATTCCCCAGCGAGGACCCTGCGCAGCGAACGGAAAGCCGGCCGGCGCACACGGCACCCATCTGATCGCAGTGAGAGAGCTCCAGACAGGTCCGGAACACGGAAGTGGAAATCCCCCCGGTTTTATTCGAGCACCGTAACGGACACCTCCGACCGTGACCCCGATTGTCCCCCGGTCCCCCCTTCCCCCTCCTCCCGTCTTCTCCGATCTTCTCCGACAGAAACCGACAACACAACGCTGTCAAAATGCCCAACAAGCCCATCCGTCTGCCGCCGCTGAAGCAGCTGCGCGTTCGCCAGGCCAACAAGGCCGAGGAGAACCCTTGCATCGCCGTCATGTCCTCGGTTCTCGGTACGCATTAAGCCTTCCTTCCTTCTTTCTTCCTTTCTTCCGTAGCACTTCTAGTCCGCCAATCAAGCAAAGCGAAGCGCAAAAGAGGAAAAGAAAGCCAACTAATTGCGCCTTCAAAAAACAGCTTGCTGGGCTTCCGCCGGTTACAACTCGGCCGGTTGCGCCACGGTCGAGAACGCCCTGCGCGCGTGCATGGACGCGCCCAAGCCTGCGCCCAAGCCCAACAACACCATCAACTACCACTTGTCTCGCTTCCAGGAGAGACTCACTCAGGGCAAGTCGAAGAAATAAGCGATGGGCGTGTACGACTCTGTGTCCCGACGACGACAACGACGACAACGACGACGAGGACGAGGACAAGGACAATAGGAAAGACGAGAGAAGAAAAAGACAAACGACAACTCAACCTTATATATACACTGTGGGGATCCAATCAAGACCGATCATAATTCCCACGCCCCTTCCCCCTCCCTCCTCTCAAAGAACTACTACAACCATGTTGATATCCCTGCGACGCCAACGCCATTGGAGGAGGCGGGAGAGTTGGGAGGATGTTAGAAGAGTTGTCGTCGTGGAAGAAGTTACTGGGAAACAATTGAAAGAGGATTGGTTTCGAAACAAAAATACGAGGCAAGACCAGTTTGCGCCCTGGTGTGATACCCCCCAAATGGAAGGAAGCAAGAGATGAAGATGGGAGAGGAGGAGGAGAGCGGAAGCACATAGGCAGACCAAGAAATGAGCTGGCATGGCCTACGATGTGCTGCTGGCGTCTTCACAAGTCAGTTCGGATATCCGGATGGCCAGCCGTTGAGGGTTGCTTGCTGCTGTACAATATTGTGGCAACATTAAAGGAAAAAGCATTTGGGAGAAGTGAGGCTTATGCTTATCCGGGCGTTTCAGTATACATTTGATTTTTTTAGAGGCATTGTAACAATACAACTTACATACATACATACTATAAGTTCATAAGATGCCGCCATGGTAGTTCATAAAAATAAATTACGACACTGCGTTTATCCCTCCTTGGGGAACATCACCGACCGATGAGTCCATTTGAAACGGTAAAAGGATCCTGATCATCAGATTTGCCCCCAGCCAAAGCATCATACTTGACCAAAGGGCGCTGTTTAAGAATTTAACAATGGAAATTTTTCTTTGAATGCAATGTTCCGACAAGGGTGGCTTCGAGAGAAGATCGTGGCCAATGTCTTTCGAGCAAGAGGTTTTTGTCCGGAACGGCAACACGAGAGCAAAACGAGGATGTTTGGATCTGTTTGCAAACAAAATCCACTCTTTAGTGTAGTGCTTGGTTTTCTGAACAAACTACTGGATCATCCCACGAATCATATTCACGAAGGTACACGTAAATGTCCAAGTAGTTGCTTACTCTTCACATTAACCGACGTTATAAAGTACCTAACCTAAGCTACTCTCTCCTCTGCTCTGCTCTAGACTCTATAAAAGACTGGAATAACTAAAAGACAAACAAACAACAAAAATGCGCAATTGGGTATTCATATCTGACTATAAAGATCAACCAAAAAAAAAAAAAAAAAAAAAGAGACAACAACTTCACTGACCGTCAACCCCTTCCTTCCTCCTCCCTTCTTTTCCTTCTTCCTCCATTCCGTCCATCTATTTTCACTCTCGGCCCGCTCGCGTCCTCCTTCTTGCTCCATGCTTCCCCTCTTGCCCATGGGAAACCACCAAAATTACCGGACCCGTTCCGCTTGCGTTCAAGCAACCACTGTTTGGACACCCGCCTTGACTTCTCTTTGATTTCCAGCAAAGAACTCACTCCAACTCCCATTCATCCGCGCGTTGTTCCCGTTGGAACCAAACCGAACAGAACAAGACGGAAGCAAGGAAACCGTTGCTCATCTCATCCCCTGGCATCCATCACATTTTAACCCGTCCTGACGAACCCGACTCGACAAAGACCGATACTCAAAGATCGACAAGGTATAAGACAGCAAATAGTCCTTCACTACGCAGAAATGATGAGAAAACGATGATGGGAAATAAGACAAATGAAAAGAGGGAAGGGAGCTTGACCCGTGATGATGATGATGATGACAAAGGAAAATCCAAGAAAATGCCCGTGTCTATAGCCGACACCGATAATAAATGATTCTTTGTGTGCGCGTGCGTGTGTGCTCTTTGGAGAGAGAGAGAGAGATAAGAGATGACAACTAAAGGAAATGGTGTGTGTATATAGGTGTCTGTGATGAGTCGTTTCTTAGAAGAAGAAGAAGCGTACGATGATGATGGTGATTATGCGAGTCCGCCTTTGTCTATGTTTGGAGAATCCATGCCTGCCAATCCTTGTTGCCGAGTTTCTGTCCCAAGACAAGATGATAAGTGAAAGATGGTACCCAAAAACCGAGAAGAGAAATGAGTTGTTTGTCGAGTTGAGTTGCCGAACAAATGAGGGACAGTGATAAGAGTGACAGAATGTGACGGACGTGAGAGGGATGAAAGACAGGTTGTTGCTGCTGCCTTTTTTTTTTTTTAACAATATGGTGCTGTCCAAGTTTATTCCAAAAAAGAAATGAGAAGACCGACGCAAGCGGGTGTGTTCGGAATTTTCTGGGAGCACACAATGCCACTTTGATGCCCTGCTCACTCCAACAGTTCCCCTTCGCAGTACAGGTCAATTTCCCCGGCGCTGTCTGGGTTGCGAAGCCCCTCACGCCAATCCGAAATGGCGATTTGAATATCATCGTCGCTCTCAATCATGACGAAGTCGCCATCCTCATCCCGGTACCGTAACCTCAAATTACCCCCGCCGATACTGCTACTGGTAAACCGCGAAAGCTTATTGTCGATGCGGTCAATCAGTTTCTCGTAGGTAATGTCGTAGAGCACAACCAATGTGATGTAGTTACCGGTATCGCAGTGAACCTTGACCTTCAGTTGCGTGGGGAGCATGTCGTCATCTGTGGGTGAGAGCGGGTTCTGTCCGGACATGATCGGTGCGGTACCGAGCGATGGGGTGATGTTTCGCGTTCCCTCAGTCGGGGCAAGAGGCGCCATGCCCGGTGGGGGCGGGCCAGATGGCGGAGGGAAGCCGGTGACACTGCCTGGTGTGCCCTGGCGGATAGGCTGTGGAGGGAACTGGTTCAATTGGCCTCCATAGTTCTTCCGCTCTCTGCCAGGGGAACCTGTCTGGGTCCGTAGAGGAAGGTCGTTTGCTGGGCTGCCGGTATTGCTCCTGGGAATGTTGGAATCATGGCGGGCATGGGTTAGATGGGCGGGAATGCCTGGCACCGCAGGTACCCCTGTCTGGTTGATGCGCGCAGCGGCCTGGCCAGCAATGTCCGGTGTACTATAACTCCGACTGCGTGCCTGCTGAAACTGGCTGTTATCCCCCCGGGGCATAACGGGCATCGAGGGTCCTCGTGGGTTCCTCCCGGTTCCTGGAGATGGGCCGTCTCGCGATGGCGCCCTTGGCATGGCAGGGGCCGTGTAGCGGTTACTGTCCTCCTGCCATCCTTGGGGGGTACCGGTCTTGGGGAAAGGATAGCCGGATCCGGCACCGGCGAAGATGCCGCTCGCTGTGCTCGTCCGACTCGAAGCGGGCGACTCGGCTACGGGAGAGAAGTAAGACTCGCCTGCTCGAACAGCGGGTGATGGCTGAAGGCCAACATTGAGAGGCGCAGGTGCCTGTGGAAGAGGGAATCGTGGAGGTGGTGCGCGAGCCATACCTGCTAGACTGTCGCTGGTGGCGGACCGCTGCCGTAGACTTGTGCTCGATCCATTCCGCGGCATTGTGCCTGGCATGGCAACGGTCGGGGCAGCAGCGTTATAGATGTCCTCGTCCTCTTCTTCGTCCTTGAAGGGATTCTCCAGTCCGTTGCCTTGCGAGGCGAGCCAGGCAAAGTTTGGCGGAGCTTGGTCAGGAGCAACTGGGGCCGCTTGTGTGTTCTGCTTTCGCTGTTCTTCCAGACCGGCGGCCCACTTCTTCATCATCTCTTCGGTCTGGAACTTGATCATGAAATTCTCCACGCCCGGATCGCCCTTCCACCATATTTGTACGGTATACGAGCCTGCACAGTCAGCAACTGTTGTGTTCCGCCGAGAATTCCAACTGTGTCGCTTACCAGGCTTGGAAATGGCTACTACATCGGTGACATTGGTCATGAAGATGCGGCCCTTGAGCTGTAGTTTGGCGAACTTGTTCCGCACCTTTGGTACGGATGATCGCGTCTTGTCCTTCTTGTCCTTGGCTTTAGTCGTAGTGAGTTCCTTGCAACAGAGCAAGATATTCTCAAAAAGATAGATCTCATACTGCTGAGGAAGGTTAGCGGTCCGTTATCAGCTCGTCTTGTACCAGCAAAAGGAGGAACGCATGCGCCAGGGCGAGATACGTACGTCCTTCTCTTGTTCACTCTTGCCCGTTATAACAGTGTATACTCCGTGTAGGAGCAGACTTCCAAAGTTGTCCACCTTATGGCTCTTCCAGTCGTCTACTCGGTGTATAAGGTCCTGCAAGGCCTCTTCGAGGATGTTCTTATCAACGGCCGAATTGGCTTTCATCAAGACCCGTTCAGCAGCAGCAATTCCGGCAGCTAAATCTTCCTTGGTGTGCTCGTCCTCGCTCTTCTTGAGCAGATCCTTTAAGAACAAGCCAATTAGTATGCGCATTAGTACCATCAAAAGGACGCAGCATCCATACCTTGAGCAAAAGCGGGTACTTGACCAGTCTCTGCATAGGCTTGAGGAGGAAACCATCAAGGGTATTAAAATCACACGCGACCGGATGGCCAGCCTCTTGGATCTTGTCAAACACTTGCGTCGCAACCTGGGCTGCCTTTCTTTGGTTCGCGATAAAGGGTTGGTAAATGCCAAAGTTCTCTTCAGCTGCGACGAACAAGCTTCCCCATTCCTGCCTAGCCTGCGGCATCGAATTTGTTGTTTCTACCCTGATGAGGAACTTTCGTTGATGATCCAAGATGGCGTTGATATTAAGGAATATGTCGTGGATGAATTCGCCAGGGATAACGCTCCTGTGTTCCAGCGTCCTCTTTAGGTCGTGGAGGTTCTCGAGATCCTGTACGTATTTGCGCTCCGTGTCTACCAGTTCTCGAACAATGTAATCGCGATGGGTCATCTTAGAACCCGGCTGCGTGATATCATCTTCGGGGTATGGCAGGGTTTGGAGCAAGAGGCCCCGTTTTTCGGCAAGATCGAGCACATAGTTGATAACAGAAGTCACCTGGTTTCCGAACATGTGCTCTCGTCAGAATACACTGTTCCATCAAGTGTGCAGGTTAAAAAAAGGGGGGGCGCCATAAGACTCGCTCACCTTGACAAAGCCGGTGGTATCCTCCCCTGTAAGGTCGGCGACGATAAAGCATTCGGTAACGGGAGGGACGAGGTCGCTCAAGCAGGCCTTGACGAATTCCATAATGGCGCGTTTGGACCGTCGCGCTTCCGTCTCGTTCGGCCTCTGATCGACGTGTAGCGGTTTCTCGGGTTGGAGCGCATTGTAGATGGTGAGCAGGGGCAAACCGGTGCGAAGGAGCTTCCAGAGGGCCTCGACGGGGCCATCATGGCCATTCTCCTGCTCGCGCTGCAGTTGTTCTAGATAGCCCTCGAAGCCGGGAACCTGGGCGAGGCGTTGTTTGAGCGACAAACATATTTGGTACAGCGATCGCGAGGCGTCGGCTCTCTGGTTGATGATGTTTGTGGTGGCGACAACCTGGCCGTTCACGGGGGTAACGGCGGTGGCGGACGAAGTGAGCGAGCTGAGCGAAGTAGAGGAGTTGAAGGCCGTCGAGCCCGAAAGCTGGCTCGCGCGCGCGGCGTTGGACAGGCTCATGTTGTTCAATCTGGCGACGCCGTCGGTCGACGCTTGAAATACAGGGGCGGTGTTCGTTCGTAGAAGAGCAGCATGGGCCATAGTATACTTTAGGTCTCCATTCGCAAATGGTCGGTGGAGACTCGTGCTTGGTGCCGCGAGGCGCGGGGGGGGGGGGGAGGGAAGAGGAGCCGGGAGGGGGGGTGGGTGGGTGTGTGTTTGCCCTTTGGAGGCTCGAGGGGGTTTAACGTTCAACGTTCAACGGCTTTCGGGCGCCGGCGGGCTGTAATTGCTGCTGCTGCTGCTGCTGCTGCTGCTGCTACTGCGGTGTGTGGGAGACACTGATTGACTGGGCGTGATGGATGGACGGGACTGACGGGGTCGGGGTTGCCGTGCTGCGAGATGCGTCCTGCTGCTGCTGCGTGCTGTTGTTGTGGTGGTGGTGCAAATGCCGACTGCGCTGGGCGATTGATTGACTGTAGGTGATTTCGTTGCAACTTGCGAGGCCGGGGGTAGCAGCAGAGCCCTCAATCAACGCGAGTGGAGAGCGAAGATTAGGGAGGAGATGGCTGGATGCCGGGTATCGCTCAACGGCGCTTGCTTGGCTGCCTTGCTTGCTACTACCTAGGTAGGTACCGATGGAAATGTCCGACACGCGTGGAGAGATGAAAGGTTCACTTGTGGCGTTCTTGGTTAAGAGGAACCGGGTCAATTGCTGGGTCTTTGCAGAAGAAGCACAAAGTTAAAAGTTGTCAAATGAATGAGTGGGAGAAGAATAATCCGAAAATGGTCCAGTACGTCAATCAATGACTGATACGTAGTAGGAGTAGAGGTAGAACGGGGAATGGACGGGAGCGAGTGGGTTCACTTGTGGTGCTGAATGACACAACCTAACTGACGGGGTTGCTATCGTTATCGCGGTTCTGGCGTCGGCAACTAAAGTACGCTGTTGCTCTGCGCCTCCTTTGCGGCGATGTGTATTTCGATTGAGTCCGTGGTCTGTGTGTGTGGTCTGTGATATCGCGGGTACAAACAAGGCGCCCTCGTGTTGGTTTCTTGAAGGGAAGTGGTTACCTGCTTGGTTTCATTCCGCGTCGCTTAAGGTAGTGACTCGCCCCCAAGTCACGCTGAGCCGTTGAGAAATTGTCAAGGCAAGTACCGATCGGGGAAGGGAGACGGCAGATGGTTCGTTACATATGTACACTACACTACTAGGTAGGTAGGTAGGTTAGGTAAGAAAGGAAAGGTGTCCGGTCCCTTCAGCCCCGGAAGGCTGTCCTTAATTCAAATGCTCGAAACTTGAGCCCCCGCAATCCGACGATATCTTTTTTCTGTCTAAGCGGTTCGATACGTCGTTACAAACAGAGGCTAGGGACTCGTGGCAACTAATTAATTCTGGTTGGTCGATGGGCAGAGTACACGATACGGGCAGTCGTCCAGTCAACGTGCAGGCACACACTTCAGGGTAGGGGTTTAGCTTCTGGCTCTGTGGGTTTCGGGCTCGTACTGTTTTGGCGTGGTCGGCTGCTGCTGATTCCTGTCACTGAATACCTCATAGGTTAAATAGAGAGCGAGGTAAGGAGGTGGTGTAGGATGGAGGTAGGAGGCCGGTGGCCTATTGGGGTGGGAGGGTGTGCGAGATTGACGAGGGCGGGCGGCGGCTGATCTCTTGCGGCGATGGCTTGATGCCGCCGCCAGCTTTCCAAGAGGATGTGCCTCGACTGGATGGATCTTTGCAGGCGGGATCACGGCATGGCTCCATAAAAAAATAATCACCGGATCATGATGACTCTTTGCCAAAGCGCCAAATTGAACTGGGCTTCTGAAGGTCTGTCTGTCTGTGTCAGGTTCTACCGAGCGTTTAAACTAGGTACCTATCTCCAGGGTTTCGCCCTTTCTGGTGATGACATCCAGATAAGGACGCTCGAACTGAAGAATATAGCCGAGTATGTCACCAACACGAGCTGGGTGTGAAAAACCACACCCACCACTCGTACCAATGCAAATACGTGCGTACGGGTTGAAAGTGTAACGAGATTGGGTTTCATGGGGCGCTCGCGGATGCAAGGGCGAGAGTCAATTCTCCATCATGTTTGGATGATCCAGTCCGACTGCTATTTGTGTGCGCATAAACGTATCCATCTGCAAGTGGGATGATCTTGTGTCTAGCTACACTACTGCAGCATGGTAGGCATTTACTACGACACCATGACATTCTCTCATCCTCAGTACAGGAAGAGGATGGAAGTGGAAGTAATCAACATCATGGTAGCCGCTCTGGAGTTTCGGATGGAAAGAGCAAAGGAAAAAGAATAACAATGTTCGAATGTAATGGCATTGATTTGAGTGTACAGTTCGGCATGAAAGTTGCCCCTCTCTTAGGTCTTTGAGTGTATGTGGTAGTAGTATCGTCCCACAAGAAAACGGAATTAAAACAAAAAAGAAAGGGTCGTGAGGCTCTCTCGTCACAACTCCCTCGCGCTTCCTCTTTGGCTCGACTGGCTCCACACATTGGGCATTGATCAAATCAGGGTCCCCGCCCAGGGTTCCCTTTTCGAGCTTTCGCAGACCCACTCCAAAAGGCACCAAAAGCACGCTAGCCTTCTTTCGGCTTCACTGTCCGGTGACAGTGGGGAACCCCGGAAAGCTTGGATGATGGATGTCCAGATGCGAGGACGGAAATTAAAAAAGGATCGAGTCCACAACATTAGTGAAGACAAAATCCCATCATGGTGAGCATGCCAGATATACAAGTTTCCACATTCAGGTTGGGATACCTAATCTATGTAGTTACACAAGGTGCCAAGGTAGTATTCGTCTGCAGCGTCTCCCTCTCACCTCGCTTCCCACGTGGCTGCCATCTGCTTCTTCTTCTTCTTCTTCTTCTTCCTGTTCCATCTCCAGGGTCAAAGACCGTTCAAGTCGTTCGGTCGTGAAGCGAGGCACTAGCAACCTGGAAAGGGGTGAGGAAGGGGGTGGGAGAACGCTTGAAACGCTCATCTCCGAGTGCCGAGTTGGTCACACGAGGGGACTGCTGATACCCAAACGAGCTTGATAGGGTCAAGGCCCAAGTATACATACGTATGAAGCGAGAGAACAAGACCAATTCGCCTCTATTCCATTCAAAGTCTGAGATAGATATGTCTCTAGCAAAAGCCAAAGTCTAGTAGTCTATATCCCGAGTTTCTCTCAAAAACGCAAATAATCCAACTCCACATTCCTCGCCAACTTCGCAGCACTCGTCGCAGTCGCATAACCACACCCAAGACCAGCGCCATAACTCCCTTCAACCTCCTTGATCCTCCTCTTATTACCCCTATGACCTCCTCCTCCCATGCTGCCCAGCAAATCACTCAAGCCGACGCCATACGCTGCTGATCCGCCGCTTGGGCCCTCTCCTCCTCCCTTCGCGCATCCATCTTTGCCACCACCTGCCGCACCCCCTTGATATTCCCTCACAAAATCGTGTTCATTGACAACATCAACATCGTCATGCTCATGGTCATAATTCCCGTCGTCTTCAACATCCACCTCTCGACAAAGAGACAGGTCAAAGTTTATACCCGCCGCCGACACCAGCGCGTCGATGATGGCTGACTTGTCAAATTTGGGAAAGAGGTCCGGGTGGTCTTGCTTAGTTACGCGGGCGTCTCGTTTATAGGGTGGTGCGTTTGGGGACTGCTGCTCACGTTGGTGGGGATGAGTGATTTGTTGGAACCTGGCCAAGTGGTGGTGGCTTGTCGTTGTTGGTGTGGGCATCGGCGCCATGGTGGTGTTTGGAATGGATGTAAGCGCGGCGGGGTTGATGGTTTTGCTGGCATTCGATGTTACGGCGATAGGGGGTAACGGCTCGGCAAGCCATTCTTCGATGATGTTGCTGTCTGAATCCTCTTCCTGAGCTGAAGCTGTGAATGGAGCCGGGACAGAGACTGAGACTTTGGAATCCTGAGTGGCTTCAGAGGAGGCCTTGCCCGGATCATTCTTTGGCCTCCCCGAATCTGAGCTATCCTCGGTGGCGGTCCTGTTGGCATCAGTGCCCGAAGCAAGAAGGATATCTGCAGTCTCTTCTGCCGTGTCGCTGCCCTCCTTGTGGCTATGAGAAGACACAGTTGGCGTGCTAGCAGCTCTGGAAACAGAGTCTGTTTCGGCATCCTCTTGATTCGACTCCTCTACTCCTTGTTGCTGCTCCTCACTCGGCTCCTCCATTACCGTATCAAGCGCCGTGGCTTCCAAAAAGACAAAATCGAAGAGCGCGCTGTTGTCATTGTACGTGTCCGGAATCGGCATGTTATCGCCTTTGGCCTGAACATCCCCGGAATCCCTAGGAGAAGTCAATGGTGGCGTAGGATATGAAGAGGTGCCACCAAAACCACCGGTGTTGAAAAATGAAGGAGGAAGAGAACCACCAAGATCGGATGCCCTTCGGCTCGGGCCATTGCACCTCTGTCTCTTTGGAGGAGGATGTCCGTGCTCCTCAAACAAATCATTCTCCGGTTGTTGCCGACCAGAAAATTGCGGGCAGCCATGGGTGTCTCCGCCACTACTGGAAATCGAGCCGCGGGTAGCCCAGTCGGGGGCGCCAAAGTTCAGGCCGACATTAGGAGTACTGTAGCTTCTCTGATGGGTGTACTGAAGGAACGGAGGAGGCGCCGATACTGTCACTTCTGGCGACGTCTTCGACTGAGCGTGAGGATAGCTTACGCCGGTGACAACCTCGTTGCGGATGTCTACCAACATCGATTTTAGCAGGCGGTACATCCTCGCTGCCGGCTGGTAGATATAGCACATGTCGTATATCGCCGCCGACAAAACCTGCAGGTATCGTAGGTTGCTCTGCTGGTCAAGCTCAGCAGTCCGGTTCGCAAGGGCTGCCATCAGAGCAATCGCTGACGTGCCCGCCTGCTGGATAGCAAAGATGGGTAGCCGCCTGCTGTCGAACCGGAGACGGTGATGCCAGAAGATACGGGCGACGCGGATGGCATGCTGGGTACACATACGGCGGGCAACGGCAACTCTATGGTGATGGCTGATGCCCGGGAGCGACCCGCCGGACTGACCATATGACCTGGTAGAATTTGATCCGTCCTCATCACCGTATATAGCCCAAGGCCGGTGGAGCAGAATCATGCACGTGTGGAATTGTTGATGGAGCATAAAGAAACCAACAGGCGCTGCTTGAACGTTGGCGGGGTTCCAGGCCAAAAAGTCCGGTAAGCGGCGGTACCACGCTTGCAGTTTTCTGTCCAGCGCAAACAATCGTTGGTAGGCCTCCTCTCCTGCCTTGTTGTTTGCAAACAACAGCTCGGTATATTCGTGTTGGTTCTGCATCTCCAGAATCTTGGCCGCTATGCTCATGAGCTCGAGGAGGTGTTGGTGAAGGGAGATCTCCGGTGACTGAGACGTCACCATATCAAAAGGGGTCGTGGGTGATGCAGTCGACTTGGCTGGGCCCTTCCTTGGCTTGAGCCCCAGCTCTATGCCAATGTCGCGATTCCGGATGCTTGGGGAACGGCCGAGTAGAAGCGCCCAGTATCTGTCGAACAAAACACACGCCGTCATGACCCGCCGACGTAGTGGTTCTTCAGCCCTGAGAACCTCGCTGTCGCTGACCGGCACGTTTACGTGCAGTCCGATGTCGATAGCCAATCGGTTTGCCATACCAGAATATAGCCAGCCAGTTGCGTCCCTGCCAGCGGCAAACTCGAGGTCTGCGAGAATGAGGAGCGCCTGGATGCTCGGTATGCCGCCTGGCCTCTCCAGTTCAGCATCCAACATGGACTTGGACTCCCGGTGGAACGTGCTCTCCCAGCTCCCGAGCATCAACCTTTTCAGATCTTCTCTGTTTCGCTCCGAAAATCTGTACCCGGCAGCAAGCATCGTGATATGAAGGAATACCGAGTAGTGCCTCGGGTTCTGGCTCTTTCGGCCTAACTCGAATATTTCACGGTCCACGACTTGAACCGCGGGGTTGTAATGGCCCCAGAAGCAGCTCATAAGGTGGTCATGAGTGGATGGGCCAAGAATATTGATGACACGCTCGACACGGCTTGCGTGATCTATCGTCCCTGGTGGGCTGGGCTGCGAGGTGTTTTGGGCGTGGACGTGGCTACTCGCTGTAAAACCAAAGTACTGCAGCCTCCCTGACATGACAGAGAACCTGCTCTTTACACCCAAGAATTGGCGTACATCTCCCTTCCATGGGGAGGCGAACTCTGGAAAAAGTGTAGAGTCATAGCTTGGGGCTTTGAGTGTTTGTTTATTGTCATCGATAGGATCTGTTTGTACTTCTTCCGCGCTGAATTTCGGTGGCGAGGGGTAATCTGCGACCATGGAGGAATTGGCCTGATTCGGGCCAGGAGTCTCAAAGTCTTCACAGAACCGAACATCATGTTTTTCGTGTTCCTGCATTTCTTTCGCTTCTTGTCTCGTCTTTGGAGGATGGACGGCTGGAGGGGGGGCGACGCCTCTTTCTCTCAGCATCTTCTCCAAGAGAGTAATTCGGCTGGACAAGGATGACATGTATGCTTTGGATATAGGCCTCTTGAAGTGTCAGATATGTCAAATTGCGGTATCATGTCGGTCCTGGTACACACCTTCGCCTCTCGTCATCGTTTCTTATAATACACTCTGCTCCGGTCTTCTTACACTGTGTGCACCCGGACTCTCCTTCGGGCACTACACAACGTATCCGCCTTTCCCGGCAGGAAGCGCAAGCAACTGAGGCCCGGTGACGCACTTGTTGTTTGCTCGAGGACCTTGGGGTATGTGATGTAAAGTCAGGACTTGAGGATTCGCTAACTCCCGCGGAGGGAGATCTGTCGTTTCGATGCAGGGTGGACATGGGGAGTGTCTAAGTTGAGGTGCGGGAGCCGGACGAAGATCAAAGACGAGTTGGAGTGAAACGGCTGGAAAGGAACACTGGGTCGGTGAAGCGTCTGGTTACCACCGTAAAGTAGGATGAGTTGTCAAGAAGATGAAAGTTGTAAAATCTCGTCGAGTGGCTGGAGGAACACGAACAACGTCTACTGGCAGCCATGGAGAACAGCGTCATCCATGATCCAGTTAACAATGATCAGCCTCTGTCACGATTTGCTGCCATGTTATGCCCGTTAGCAAGAGCCGTGACCAAGAGAGACGAACCTGGGCCCCTGGCTTCTCCGCATCTCAGGCTGGGTGTGGGCAAGAAATCCCCCCCCTTATCCACTCGGTCCGCGATCGAACTTCCCCCGAAAGAGACCCACCTGGATAGTTGATGGAGTTCTCGAAGTCGTTGGATTGCCCCTTAGGCACTAGCGCTTCCAACAGGCACCGCAAAGACCCCGCCCTTTTTGCGCGTCGGAACGCGGGGGATAATCTGGGGAGAGCGGAGAGGTCCACTGTGAATCTCTTTGTTTTTCTTCTCTTTTAGTGTGGTTGGGATGGCAATCTTGTTGGCTCCCAGTTCTCCCTCTTATCTCCAATTTTGCACTGCGAGTTCTCAAACTCTTATGGATACGACATGGTGACTTTCAGTGTCGAATTGGGGGCTGTCAACGCGGGACGTCATTGGACACTGATAGTCCGTCGGGATTCGGGTTTATTTTCGAAGAGGCAGCACCTATCAGCTTCACATATTTTGCTGGATGAAGATGTACAGTATGCGGCTCGCTGAATGTGCCGAGGACCATCAGTTAACCCGGTGGAGCACATTGTATGCAACCGTTAAACCCGACCAACAATGGCACGCTAAAGCTGGACACGTTTGGAGAGGCCGGGGATAGGTTGGTGTGACAAATGTAACGTGAGCCAGGATCCTTTCACACGCTGGCTGAGCCAACTAGAAGCCGTCGAGAAGTGCTGACGTCCCCAACCCGATCCTGGCTTCCATTTACCCCACGATACGGGCTGGCACTAAAGGAAGACATGGGTCAAGCCAAGGCCAGAAGACCCATGAAGAATGACTTTCTTACACTACCCTCTGCGAAGGCGGAGTTGCTCAGGGACTCTCTAACTTGAGCAGTCGAAGCCAAGCGGAGCCGGACTGCACACGCAGCCGTAATAAGTAATTAAAGCCGATGGCCATGGAGCTGCTGAGCTGAGAGGCAACTGGGGATTGTCGCCATTCGTCAAAGCCATTATTAATGTCATACAGGTACACCATAGTTATGACTGATTACGGAGCAGTCTAGACACCTGGTGACTGTGACCAATTTCTTGAGAGGCGGATGAGATGGTACGAACCCCCAAAGCTTTTTCTTGGTTCGCTTGGATAGTCGACGATAGTCTAGGGGAGCCGCAAGGATCGTCATGTGCCGTACCTGCAACTACGTTCTCGTGCAGCACTCTCCATTCTCTCGGAGGCACCGCTCGGCAAAGCACCCAAGCACTTGTTTGCCCAAGAACGAAGCTACCCCACCCGCCGCTCTCATCCGAGGCCCGCTATGTATGATACCCGGCCTGCCGGCGTCGAGCGTGGGTTTGCGGGGAGCTAGGGCGCGGCATTGGGGAAGAGGAGGCGCCAGTTTCTTGACGGCAACAAGCTATCGTGCATAAAAGGGTCGACGCTCTCCCCTGTCTTTCTCGGTCCCAGTTGTGTGTCCGCAATAGCCATCCATGGCTGGATGCGAAGATGGTACGGTCTTGGGGGAGGGCAAGCATCGAAGGCTATACTGAACAGTTGTAGAATGATTATTATCTGGATCAAACCAACGAAACGGCACGGGTATCTAGCACCGCGGCGCCAGCAGGACCGTTGAGTCCTACATGGGCTTGGTTGCACGCCAACGATGTTAGGGAAGACCAAACGCGACCATGACCAAAGTATTATGTATTGATGACGGTCAAAGCAAACAAGAACTCAGAACATTATGCTCTTGTGCTTGGGCTCTCGGGGTGGGGTGTCAATTCTGTGAGGGCTGTCGTGTCTTTGGGTTCTAAAGAAAGAGGCTTCTTGCCCTCAATAACTGGGGACGCAAGAGCAGTTAGTTGGTGGCTTGAGGGGGGTCAAACTCGGGCATTCCGCACTTACGCCTTTGCCAGAGCTCATAAGAGCAGACAAGGATGATGGGTGTCCCGATCATGACGGTTGTCCAAGTTCTCTGGTAGGCCTTGTATTCGGGACTGTTCGGGTCAACCCGCTTAGGTTGCTCGCCTGTGGCCTTGAAGTTTCCGGACTTCCCAGCTGGCTTTTGGCCCGTAGCGTAGCTCTGTCTAGAGATTCTTGGGGTTCCGAGCGCGGGTGAGGCATGGGCATTCCGTAGTAGAAGGCGGCTGCGCTGGGCCAGCGAAGAGGACGTGAAGGCGTTCATTTTCGTCGAAAGGAACATGGAGTCTTGTCGGGTCTCGATAGCTAGCAATCGCTTTTTTTCGTTTTATTTCCCTAGAGGAGGCAAGCGAAACGAGAGCCAGTCAGCCAATCAAGAAGATGAACCGCAGAAGTAGCTGAACGAGACAATTGATACGCACCCTCAGGAACGAGGACTTGGTAAAAGTCTGGGGTAGTTCAAGGAACCCTTGTGTCTGCCCCGGATTCGTGATGGAGAAAGTCGAGTCAGGGCCTTGCAGTCCCATGATCCATCAAAAGTGGATGTCCATCAGACCTGTTTGCTCCCTTGGCGCACGGTCAGGTCGCCCCTTGATTTTACTAGCGTACGTATGTCGGTGCAATTCAGTCCGAGTGTGACCCTAACCCTGGCAATGTAGTCCAGCCCGGACAGCACTTGTTCCCGCGGAGATATGTAGAACCCAGCACCGCTTTGAGGGATTTAATGCTAGACTTTTAAGTGTCTAAACCATATCCCCTTGTGGTGTAGTTGGATATCACGTTCGGCTGTAATTGTATGATTGTATACCGAAAGGTCACCGGCTCGATTCCGGTCGAGGGGAAATATCTTTTTGTGCCTTCTTCTTCTTTCTTCTTCCCTTGTTCATCCTGCTTCCTCCTTTTTCTTTTTTCACCAACTTACTTAGCATTGCCCTTCTACCCCGTATTCTGAAGCACTTTCTTGAACAATGGGCGACTCTGTGAACAACACACACAAAGAAGACGACTCTTGTTGGCGAGCCATTGTTCATCTCGACTCTCCTGTCCTGCAGACATGGAATCTATAAAGCTCGATCTCGTGTCTCCCAATTTGACTTCCCGCCTTGTTCGTTGTTAAACGCTATCATCTCGCACACCTGGCCGCCTCAATACCATCAAACGCGAGCCCGTGATTCTTTGTCCGATTCTTCTACACTAACAAGATGCCCTACTCAGTCAATAACGGCCACAGAGCGGCGGCCCACACCTCCGCAACGCAACCCCAAATCGAAAACAGCGGATTGCCTCGTCAAGGCGCGTCTCACCGCAAGGTTGTCAACATAGGCGACGTTCTTGATGACCGTTATAGAGTTCTACACATGATCACCCACAACAGCAATTCAGTCTCCTATCTCTGCCGTGACTTGGAAGACGACAAGTGGCGCCGCGTGACCGTTGCCCGCTCGCATCAATTCAGCACCGCCATGGACGAGTTTGAAAAGGGAGCAGAAGCGAGGCATCGGCTTGGCGAGAAAGAAGCAGAGCGCCAGGGCTTCTGTCTCAAAGTCTTCTCCGTTGCCGGGCCCAACGGTGTCTACATAAGTCTCGTTTACCCTTTGAACAGTCACGAGGTGAATTTGCGGTTTTGTGCACCTTACGACGAGGCGTATTTATGAATCAACTTATACAGTGGGAGAACCCGGAGTAGATGTCGTGGACGGGGCTGAGGGTGTTCATATCAGGCGTTATAAGGTCTGTTCATGCCATTAGTGAGTTAACATTTTTCCTTGTTTAGAACGCCCAGTAGCGGTTAGCAGTCCGTACGTCGTTGGCGATGAGGTTTGATAATATATTGATTTCATGAGAACTTCGGTTCGGTTCCCTTTTGAGTTGCTGATGTAAGGATTATGCTCCCGGTTTTTTTTTTTTTTCCTGAATGTCCTATGTCTGAGTGTCTCCTCGTATTTCCTTCTCTGAATCTTCATTTCATGTCAATATGACCCGTCATCTTCCTTCCCTCGGACACCCAGTCACCAGTTCCGAATGCGTTTCTGAAGCCCAGGATTTCGTGCCCTGACTTCTAAGACTTCCCACAACCTCCATACCTCAATCCCTCACCACTCCGCGGCACCACCACATCCTCCAAGTGTCTTTCCTTTGCCTTAAATTGCAGACCCTTCAACAATCCATAGACAACCTTAAGCGTCGGCGTCTCCACCCCAACCCTCTCCGCCTCCCTGAGCGGTTCGCCCACGAGGTTCTCAAACTCGATAAACCTACCCTTCTCCACATCTTGCAGCATGCTCGGTTTAAAGAACTTATCATACCCGTCCGCCGTGATCATCGTCTCGATCAGCTTCTCCTCGAGCTCCACGCCGGCCGCTGCTTTTGCCGTCGCTCGAATCTCCTGCATCAACAGCCGAATCAAGTCGTCGATGATGTGCTCGGTGAAGCGCATGCGCGACGTGTCCATGCCCAAGATCGCGGCCACGCCATTGTACGAAGCGTTGTACAGCAGCTTACGCCAGCGAGAGTAAGCCACGTCCGGCTCGTAGGTGCAGTCAACCTCGGGGCCGCAGGCGGTGTAGGCGTCGACGAGGCGGCGGGCGGCGGCAATGGCCCTTGATTTTTGGCTGTATGAGGCTGCGATAGGGTTGTCGAAGACGCCGATGAAGGTGCGTTCGTGGTTGTGGTGGTTGATGGTGCCTGGGGGCAACTCGATGGCGCCGGTAAAGGTAATACCGGAAAGGATGGGGTTGGCGGGGAAGGCGGAGAAAAAGGGACGCTCGATGTTGAGGCCGTTCTGGATGAGGACGATGGCAGTGTGGCCGGGCGTAATGGCAGGCGCGATGATATTAGTGATCTGAGGCTGGATGTCGGGTATGTTCTTTGTGGTGACGATGACGTAGTCGTAGGGGGCTCTCCATGACTCCTCGCTGACAGATGGGATACTATCAAGAACTGCACGAACGTGAGTTTACGGTGCTTGAAGAGAGCTTAATGGGTGAAAGGACTGACTTGAAGTTGGGCGCCAGTCCTTGACTTCACCGTGGTCGACCGAATGAATGGTAAAGCCATTCTCGAAGACAGCCTCAAAGTTGGACCGCAGAACCGCGGCTACCTCGGCTTTGCCTCCTTTCTCGAGGGCGTAGGCAACCATGGTACCGATGCCTCCCGAGCCCACGAGGAGCACTTGCAGCTTCTTGTTTGCGTCAACGGAACCCATATTGTGGTGCGTGTGCTCTTTCCGTGCTTGACTTTGGTTGTATGGGTTTGCGTTTCTTTCCCTTTTTTTTGGATGCTGAGCGTCCGAGAGAAGCAGACCTGATTTTGGGAAGAACTCAAGTTTAGTCGTCTTTAAGTACTTTCGAGGAGGATCCAAAATGATGTGCCAAAGGGGTTCGTGCTCAACGACTAGCGATCTACCGGTGTCAGGTCACGACTTACCTCTACACATCAATGCTCCAACAGGCGGAGGGGATTTTATCTGATGTTTGGTCACCGCCTCTGCAATATCGCTTGACGATAGCAGTTCACCGGGAAAGAGTGTTTCGCAAGTGTCCTGGTAAGACGGCAATCCCACCAAGCTAGATAGCCCATGATATAGCAGGCTTATTCGGTCAGTGTTTGTCGTTGGAACTAAAATGGCTCAATCATTGCTTTCAGGCGCGCGGCGGGATGATATTGGTCATGTGGGGGTCAATAGATGTGGTTGGAGTCTCCGAACACAAAAAAATGAGGCTCAAAAATGGGCGTTTGCAGAAATCGATGGGCGTTGGCGATAAGAATGGGTAAACCCTGACGATGCTACACAGCCAGATGTCAACATCGGTTGTTGGCTTTGGAATATTACTGTAGAATGATACATCTTTATTTGCTCTGTCTAGAAGACAGATTCAGTTCTTTGCGCTTGTCCCCCTACCAGCAAGTAACAAAGGGAAAGTGTCTGCAGGGCGTAATGAGGGACACGTCGGTCAAGATATGACGAACAGGCGCAAAATAGCTTCAGAATCTGATACCAACATCATTCGATCCCCAAACTTCAGGCTTGTCTCGACAGGTATGATTCATGTTGGGATCATCACCTCTGGAGTATTATAGAGTCCTGAACTCAAGATACGATGTGAATCATGTGATGGACGACGTGCTCTTTGTATAACCAAAGAAGTTGCCAAGACAGTTTGACTCTCACACTTAAAATGTTGTCACTTTCTTTATCGGCTGTTTTACGTACAGTCATTTCCACAATCAACCAAGAAGCCGGACGAGATGGCGTTCTCATGACGATGTAAAACGATTTGCGATTTGCAGCAAGGGGCTGTTTGACCCTTCCTTGAACATTTTTGAGAAGATGGAGGCCAGTGTGGGCCTGGGGAGATTGGCGAAAGAAGAGATGGAAAGAAAAAGGGGGGGAGGGGGTTGGGAATTTGCAGAGTTTGTTGGAGACGTTGGGGTTGACGAAGGAGACACTGGAGAGAGAGCAGAGGAACAACGGGGGACAAGTGGAAGGCATGATGAATGGTGAGCAGGAGACATGCAACAGCGATCTAGGAAGTTCGGTGGAAGTGATGTCTTTGAACGAAGGGTGGGGATTGAGGGATGACGAATACGGGTGAGATACTGATTCGGTTAAGGAAGCTACTCTCTAGCTGTTCACAAGGCTCTCATTTTCTTCACTGCCTTTCTGTATTTGCATCTTTGGAAGGAGTCATTTCTACGCCCAAGATAACATTCAAATCGCGCCTACCCCAAAATTTTGGGAAAAAAAAGAAAGGTTCGCTTCGACCGTTCCACACCCACTGCCCTTACCCGAAAAGGAAAACAGAAAGATGGAAACATGAAATAAAAAAAAGGGAATGAAGAGTGTAAAAACACAGTTTGTGCACAGCTCAGGCGACGAAAAAATAGTAACAACAAAAAAAGGAAGGCGTTGTAAACGCCGGGAATTGAGCCCGACGTGGGGGTCGAACCCACAACCTTGAGATTAAGAGTCTCACGCTCTACCGATTGAGCTAGCCGGGCAGCTGAAAGAGCTGCCATGATTGGTTGATAATTCGGGTCAGAGCCCAGACTAATATAGTCAATCAACTACTATACAGCATCTACGCTCTTGATTCTGACTTTGCAAGTCCCAATGCCACCCCGTCCGTCCGTCACTCTCACTTCCCGCGTGGATGGCAACCAGCCATAGAACAAAGAAGATAATCAAACTGTGAGCTCCGGGGTCTGAGTGCTCAAATTAAAACAAAAACTCTACCTCTTCCCACTGCACATACTCATCAAACAGCGCCGTTCCCTCCGTGCTTTTTATCAGATGCTCTCTTTCCTTCTCCCTCATTCCAGTTCCCTCCCATCCTCCCGCTCGTATGCGCCTCCCATACAACCTGGCAAGGTGATAATGCGCACACCTACCCACCACTTTGGCAGTCTTGGTCACGATCGATGACGACGACGACGAGTCATTCCTAAGTAACATCTTGAGGGAAACGCTGGGGAACGGGATTTCGCTGCTGCTGCCGCTGTCGCTGGTGCTTTGGGCTTGTACATTTGGATGAGGAGGACGAGAATGAGGAGGCTGTATTGAAGAGGTACTGATGCTACTACTAGCAGAGAACAAAGTCTCGGTCGTAGTGATGACTGATGAAAGGTATGACTCGGCTTGTGCGTCTTTGCCGTGGGAAAGCAGCCAGATGGCGGATTTTAGGTGGGATGTGGCTTCTTGGAGGAGCTTTTTGGCAGGATCTTGTTTCTGTCGGTGTTCTTCTTGATCTTGCAATAGTGGTGCTGGTGGTGCTGGTGGGGGGTAGTGGTTGTTTGTTGATGGGCAAGCCGAGGGGTTCGGGTTGGGGCTGAAGACTCTTTGTTCTGGAACTTCGACAACCAGTCTTCCGACATTGGCGTTGGCGGCCACTGATAACGGTGGCGATGGCGACGATGATGCTGGAAACGGGATATGATGACCCAGGATGGGTCGACCGTCCATCGTATCCCTGAAAAGCAAAAACGACTCTAGGGATACCGGCGACACACCCAAGTCTTTGGTTGTCTGCTCCAGCACCGTGTTCAGAAACCGCTCGGCGGACTCTTTGAAGTCGTGGCTGCTGCTGTCCAACATGAGCCGCCTCGATGCGGATGCAGATGTGTCTGAATGGTGATGGTGGTCGACCGGCTGACTATTGCTGCTGCTGTTCACGTTCAGGTGTGGTGGGTGTGACAGAGACAGGTAATAGTCGGCATCATACCCGGCAGCTGACACGAAACCCTCCTGTTCGGCGGCGGCGGCGGCGGCTCGACCACCGCCATTGGCGACACCACTGCAGCTACTGCGTCGGTAAGCTATTCCCATCATTTCTCCGGGCCGACCACCATCAGCAAGTCCACCGGGCAATACCGGCAGAGGATGTGGTGCCGAGCAAGCATTATGTGTTTCGTCAAGCAGTACCCTAGCAATCGAGACCAGCGGATACGCTACTGGCAGTTGAGCCACGTCCGTACACAACCCAAAAGCGTAGACGAAGTTGATAATGTAGTAGAATTTGGCCCCGATCACGCTCTGGACCATGGGCTCGAGCATAGCGAACGATCTGTTGATGGTGCGGAAGCGACGAACGATATCCCGGGCGGCTATGCTGACGTTGGCGCCACCACCGGAATCGGAGGACAGCTGCACCAAGATGTCACGATAAAAGGCGGTTTTGTAGCGGATCGTCATCAACCACTCTAACGCGTGCGAGTACCCCAGCCAGTATTGTGTTGTGCCCCAGGTCTTGTCGTTGTCTTCGTAGAGAAGGGTCTTGTAGATGCGAGTCAGAAACCTTTGGAAGGAATGGATGGCTACGGAGTGTCCAACAGGAGGCAGAGTTGCGGAGTGACCGAAGGTGGCCGGCGATCGAAGGGCTTGCGTGGGAGAATAAGGCTGTGTATATGCGGGATACGGTGTTGAGTTAGTAGTTCGGGGATCCATCCCGGCCATGATGGGGGCGGATGACGCGGTCATTGGTCTTGTGAATGGCGGCACATTGTGGGTGAAGTGATCCGATCCGACTGATGAAGAGAGGGATGGAGTGCTGGCCGATGGTTCATGTCGGTAATGTCGATGGTGTCCTGAAATGGGAGAGGGAGTTCGGCAAGTTATTTCACGTGCTATTGCCGGGCTGTGGGGCCGGTCGGCCTCGAGCAGCCGGGCGATGTCCAGCCCTTTCCGTTTGACGTAGCTATTGACTCGGTCCCAGTCGATCTCGCGACCTCGTATTCTATAAGTGGTTGGCTTCCCGAGCTTCTCCCTCTCCCGTCTCAACCGGAAGAGCTCTACCACTTCCGACTCCTTGAAGTTCTTGTCCAGTCCCCAGGCCTTGATCCGAGTTTTATACATCCGTTGTCTGTGGGATGCGTCAGTCCACAGGATCCAATATACTTCGAGCGAGCGCGGGAGCTAATATGTTCTCTTACGTTGCCCTGAATCCACAATGCTCTTCCATGATCCTCATCACTTCCTTCAACGACAGGTTTTGGCTCTGGTAAAGCTCCTGAATTCTCCCTCGATGCTCCTCCCACTCGTCACCACCTGCCCATCCTGGGGGTTGCTGTTGTTGATCGTGTCTCACGCCTTCCATGGTGTCCGCGACATATTCTTTTCCTGTTTCCTCGACGAACGCGGGAGTCAAGTCCTTCGTCTCGAAGATACACTAATTAGACACGCATTCGCAGCAGCTTGGATGCATTGCCCCGAAATGCGCCAGCAGTAGAAGGTCCAGTCTAGTCGATGTCTGATTTGTATTACCCTTGAGTGAACCCAGGAGCTGTTGTCTCGATGCTGGCTAAATGAAAGTGAGTTTTTGATCTGCTTGTTTCGAGCATATATTATGAGTGTCAAGAGGATAAACACAATGCTTGGATCCAGCTCCCCAAGCCTGCCTGCACAAGCGATGTGGGAAACCCAGTGGTGCCGACCGGGACTCGCCATGAGGACACTACCTGATGTTCCAAGATGACTAATTCAATGTGTGGCACTTTTGAAGCAAGGAAAAACGGAGGCCCATTATGTCCATGACACGTGGTACCGGGGCACACAGTCTGGGGAACTGGAGCAAAGGTCGTTGTTGTTGAATGGGCACCACGGCGCATATCTGCCACACAATCCGAGAGGCGGTTCGACAGATCATGATTGATAACCATCGTCAACGGTCAGCGAGATACTATTTGCCAAGTTGGGCGGGGAGATCACCAAAGGAAAGGCTCTAACCACGGCAAAAGGGCACGGCATTGGTCCAAACAAAGCCGGGTTACACGTTGGACCAGCTCCATATCAGAAGTCCCTCGCATCAGCCCACGCCGTCATCAACGAGACCTTTATCTTAAAAAGTATTGTGCAGCTGCTATCACTTCGTCATGCAAAAGGACCGCACTGTTAGTTGATCCCTAGCCAGTCCAAGTTTGCCGCCGTGGATTTCAATCGGTGTGTGTGGTTAATAGCCTTTGATATGTCTCTTGTTGGACCGACACCGGCGTAACCCCCATTACTGTATGTTAGCAGGTTTAAATTTGGTTTGGAATCATGTCCATTTATGTCGCATTATGTTCATCCACTCATACGGCCATGCGTTGTACTCGCTTGTCGTAATTGTCAGAAAGATGCTTTAAATAATTGTGGTAGTCTGGATAAAGTTGCGTTGCTTACCACGCAGGTAATGGAACGGAGATTGCCAAGGTAGATCGATCCACATGGACCATAACCCATCTTTGTGTCACAAAATTTCCAGACTGTATCTCCGTTAGGAGGCTGCAAGTCTGACTGAAGCTAGCGGATGCTTGATAGTAAGGCATCTCGCATGAGATTTCTGTCGGAAGATCCAGATATGAAAGCGGCCCCGCACTGGGTGCTTGGAGTGGATGCGGAGGCCCGAGGAGGCAGAACGCCAGGATATCGAAATGAGGTCGTCTGACAAGGTAATGTCAGCTGCGAATCTCAGCCTGGGACATACAAGAATGGAATGGAAAGATCTGTCTGGTGGCGGAAGGCGACAATACAACGAAGCAACCTCGACGTACTAGGAACTGGCAACCGCTAGTAGCTCACCGCGGGGCTCGAGGGCAGGCAAGAGAAACTATCGCAAGCCAGACTAGACAATAGTAGAGGGCTCAAGCTTGGAGTAGGACATGACGGTACCGACGAATCCAAGTGAATATGGGTATCGGATAAATGTCTGATAAGCCATGCACGACCGCTCAACCCAAGAGAACCAACATCTACGCTTGATGAAGACCTCTGGAAGGAAGGACTGCATCGTGCCACTAGAAACGGCTTTGTGTACGACCTCATTAAACCGAAAGGCCTGCGAACCGTTGGGCCAACTATTCCACGTCGTCAACGCCATGGTGCGCCAAAAACTCTGGTGGTACATCATTCTCACTGTCCGTCGTCTTGCTGGAATCCAGGCCTTGTCGCGGAACCCGTTGGAGACCCACTCCTCCTCCTCCTCTAGGTTCATCTCGATCGTCGTTATCGACATTAGAGACGAGCAAGTCTGGAGGGACTTCATTGTCGTCACTCTCGTCATGATCCGTGCGCTGCTCTTCATGCGGGTTATCCTCGAGATCCACCAGATCCAAGTGATTACGGCCATAAGTATGAGCGTTATCGTCACTTCCATGGCCAACCTCATCGTCGACACTATGATCGGTGACGGTGGTTGGTCGATGGCTGGTGGACCAAGCTCCAGTAGAGTCTTGCAGGACCGTCGCCGTCGACCTCCCCAATCGCGGAGTGCTACCATTGCTCCCTTGGTATTCCTTCTCGTCTTCCATCTCATACCCCTGCTCCATCAGCATGTCTTGGATCATCTCTTTGGCCTGCTTGAACGCCTCCAACTCGGCACCTATAGCACATAACAGCAACCTCCAACCGTGCTCTTCTGCAAGATTGAATTTTTCGTCTAGCGCACCCATGACTTTCATGATTTTGTCGAGCTGTGATGTACAGAACACGAGTGGGCTTGCTGCTTGATCATCGGCGATGGCCTTTCCTTTGCCCTTGCCCTTGCCGCCGTCACTGCTGAAGCCTCCAGGCTCAACACGGCTGGCCTTTGCAATCTCTTTGCGCAAATCTTCCTCGTAGGCTGTTACCAACCTGACAACCTCCCTCCAAACCTCAGCACCCTCCTCTAATGCTGAGCGTTCCTTGTTTATTTCCTCTTTGCGCCGCTCGAGAAGGGCAATCTCACTCTCCCACCAATCCTTGGCCATATCAGCCGTCCGTCGCTCCGGTCGTAGACGCATGAACTCCAACCCTACCAGGGCCTGCTGCTCCACCTCTAGATTACCCTCGTTCTGACCAGGCCCTATCACAGCCTCAATATCCAAAGGCAGCACCCTGGGTTTGATCAACATATCTTCCAGTTTGTCATCCACCTCCTTCAGGGCCCCTTTGTAACCACTAAGGCCAGCCTCGCGACGATTTCTAACGTCCAGCCTCCGTCCATCAAGCCAGCGTTTCCGCTTCCGCAAAGCCACCAACCGTTCCTCTAACTCGGCTATTTCCGCGCGAACATTGGTGTACTCTTCATCAAGCTCGCGCAGCTCACGGGCAAGCGGTTCCTCGTCATCGCCCTCCAACGTGCGTAATTCCCCCACAATAGCATCCCGCTGCGTTGAAAGCTTGCGCAGCTCTGACAGTGCCTTCTTCCGTAAAAAGAGCGCAGAGTCGAGGTTTGCTTCCTCCTCAATTTTGAGGTCGGCAGCGAGTGCCATGGTCCTGGCTAAGGCGGCTCTGGCCCCGCGCAAATTCAGGGGTTTCTGGCGTGGTTGACGAACGGGAATGATCTCTCCGGTTTCCGTTGTACGGGTGGGTAGCTCAAAAACAACATGTGACCGACGAGTAGTTGATGTGCTTCCGGCAACGCTGATGTTCGAGCTTGATGATGGAGGTGGAGCAGCATCTGGGTTGAGGTTCGCCATCAGCCCTGTAGCTTGGGCGTCGAGTATGCTTTGAAATTCCTTCTGGATTAACCGTTCGCGGTGCTGTAGGTTGCGCCAGAACGTGTCCTGTTCGAAGCGGACTTCATCCCGATTACGCGCTGTAGAACCTCCCTTTTCGAACAAGACGCTATTGATATTCTGGGCGATGGAGGACACTCCGAATTCGAGCGGCGACGTTGGCGTAGAGTAACGATCCTTATCCTCTCGCTGCAAGATTTGTGTCGAGAATATGGGCGGTGGCGGCCCGGCGAACAAAACACGAGATTTCTTGTCCTTAGATATCGACCCAGTCGTGCTTGCTTTGTCGCTGAAGGTTGAAGATGATGGGGGCGGGGAAGTTCGCCGTCGGAACGCCGGCTGATTGCGATTTTGCGGTATATCATGGTTTAAAAAGGGGTCGTCAGGGCGAGGAGAAAGGTCTTCCAAGTCGTAATCGCTGGACTTCTGAACAGAGCGGCTTGCTTGGTTAGACCACATGTTGTATTCGTCTCGGGGTCGAGATGGTCGCGGAAGGGAGATGTCGTTGAAGGGCATTAGATTAGTCGTGTTCATTCGCGAGAAGGCCGCTGCAGACACATATGTATATATCATCAGCAACCGATACATGGTAACGGCATTGCGCACACAGAGAAGCTGGATGGATATGTCTACCGATAAGGCATTATAATCCAGACTGTCACTCTTACACGAGGACCAGTGGGGCATAAATCGAGAGGGAAGCAAGTGAAGTGTACCAGGGAGTTAATGAACAAGCGAGAATGGACAACTTGGACATACACAGAACAGATATAGCAACAAACAGCAAACGAGGCCGGCACGACTCGAAGACAGCGGAGCGCAATGTGGTCGAACCAGTACGGACACCAAAGTATGAGCTTGTAAGATGAAAGAAAGAGGAGTGAAAGTCTGGAGAATAAGACCGATGGCGGGGACGGGATGATCGGATGCTTCTTTGATCTGATGATGCTTATGATAAGAGTAACGGAAGAGGCTCAGATGACAGTCAAGTGCCTGCCATTATCAGGCACCACGAGGGAAGTTGGTCACTACAGTTCGGGAGGAGGAGCAGGTGGCATGTGCCCCACCTGAAGTACCCACGTATTGGCTCCACCAACCTAAGCTGACAGTGACGCCATTGGCCCCAAGGGAGCTTAACAGCGGATCCACCTCTCTGAGCTTCCCCCCGGCCGCGCGGATCCCAACTGAAGCTTCCGAACTCTTGAAGCTCCGTCTGGTGACTCTGTCCCAGTCCAATCGAACACATTCTTCATACCTCACGAGCGACTGACTGATATGTAGAGAATTCGGTGTCATAACGTGGCTAGATAATCCGTTGTTTCTTTTTGTTTGTGTCAAAGCACCGCCTGGCTTTCCTTCACCATCCATTCATCTCTGTCCGCTAGCAGTCCAGTCCGCTGGTCTGAAAACACCATGATCAAAACCTCATTCAACGGTTTCTCAACAAGACTATGGCTTCAGGTCAGAGACAGTTTCTTTGGCTGAGAGCAACTCCCGCCGTGATATATCTACAACTCTAATCAAAGGCATTGAATGACAACGAGATGGTTCAAAGCCCATCGATTCTGTCTGCGCCGTGATATGTTACATATCACAAGTGCATTGTTTACGGGGCTCAAACATCCTTATCTTGAATTCTTAGGTTGACAGTATACAACCTCATCGCCTTTACATAACTATATAATGGCTTGCTTTCCGGTCATCCAGCATGCTTTGAGTAGACAATACATTATTACTCCAAAAGCATACATCCACCCTTCAGCACTTTAACAGCCGGAAGCCAACAACTCGATTTCACCAACTATGCCCCCTCGCAAACAGAACGCTCGCAACACTGGCAAAGCCGGACCCAAAATGGCCACCAAGACCACCAAAAACAACAGTAACCACCAATTATTTCCAATCCAAAGCTTCAAAACTTTTTACAACGTTCCAGCGCCAGCGCCAGCCCCATCCCACCCCTTCGCTCACAACGACCTCCTCAAAAGCCTCCTCCCCCACCACGGTTACGACTACTCCATGTTCCACCTCGTCCACCCAGATGGCATCAACCACGAGAATTACCTCGCCATTGAGCCTGAGCACGCCGACTGGATCATCAACGCTCTGTTCAAAAGCGGCGGCGGCATGAAACCCTACGGCTACGGCTACAACCAACATGTTGGTAACCGTGCCGAGCCTCCTCCAAGTAGCCACCTGAACCTCGTCGAAAGCGGTCTAACGACCCTCTTCAACGCGCTCCACGATGTTGCCAGTGAGCTGGACCTCGCCGAGATGCAGCTCATTGGGAACGACACTGACAAGGCGGGTGCCGGATATCTTTCCCACTTTTGGGAGAAGGTAGTCACCAACCCCAAGTACTCCGGGGCCTGGTTCCATGTCGACGTCCCTCAGGGGCATGGACATGGACAGGGCAAGCCTATCAACGTCGGTACTACCAAATGGAAGGTGCCCAAGAGTTGGACCGGCTATCTTCGTACCAACCCTCCCATGACCCGAGCTCGAGGCCGTGAAGCCACGGTCCCCTATCTCTGCTCCATGTCTCGTCCCAATCCCGAAGAAGTGCACTACTTCCCCTCCGGGGCTTCCCCGGGTCCCGGAAAAAAGCCCCCCACGACCTTCAACACCACTCCCGGCCTCTCATCCTCATCCACCAATGAAGTTCTCCATAAAGCTTGCTTAGCCCTGCACTCTCTCACGGCCCTCATACTCGACGCGCGGGAATACGTCATCGAGCGTCCCGGACGCTTCCCCTCTCGTAACCTTCCTTCCAGTGATCCACTCGTCCTGGCTATTGACCAGTTCCGAAACTACCTTGAATCTGTCCCCGGTCTACAATTCGAGGAGTCCATCCAGCAGGCCTTCTATTCCTACCACGCCACCGTCTTCCGGTTGGAGCTTCCCGTTGCGACCGGGCTGTTTGGCGGTAATGGGACCACCATGTTCCAGTTCACGCCGGCCCATGTGTCGAGGGACACGGGGAAGGTCGTGGATGAATCGATCATGGTGGCCAGTGTGAGCTCGGCAGGATCGTCGGATGTGGACGGGGACGAGGACGAGGAGGATAGAGACTTGTCATCGGATACGGAATCCGATTACGCTTGTAGTAGTTCTGCTGGGTTTGGTTCGGCCAAGAAGTTTAGGAGATGACCATGAAGGCGCCGTGTATAAGTGGGAGGGGTGGTGACAGGGCATCCGTCCATCTTTTGTGCTGACCGACAGGTGTCGTTGATGTTAGTTTAGGTTAGAGTAGGATACAGTCATAGTCAAAAAATACTGTCCCCCTTCCCCACATTTCCATATGGTAAGGGGGGACAGTATTTTTTGAATATGAGTTTAATTTGAATGGTTTGGGTAACGACCCTTGTGATCCTGTGATACGTCAACGCACACAACAACCACAAACGCAAGACTGAGACAAGGGATGAGGACACGAAACTGATCGTGCATAGGAAGTCTATTGAATGGACCTAAGAATGTGTCCACCTGAAAAGCAATTTCTCCGCAAAACCGAACACCAATAGCCTTTACCGAGGCCTTGTAACCATCATAATCATGACACGAAAATAACCAGTGATTAAGCCAACTCATCTAATTTTCAGATTCTTGCGCCTTTTCCTGTGCCATTTAAGGCTGGCCAAGACCGAGGTGGTTGACATCGGCCTTAACGATACGGAAGGTGTTGGTGTTACCCATACCGCCCTTCCAGCCCTGAACAACGACAACGGTTTCGCCCTCGTTGAGAACCTTGAGGCCAATGCCGTGGCTGAGACCCCACTTGATGCGACGATCAACATCCTCCTGCCAGTTGACCTTGCTAAAGTCGGGCTTGGACTCGGGGAAAAGGAAGGGGTAGACGCCACGGTAAAGGTGGGCGTACCTCGAGGCAGAATCGTTTCTGGTGATCATGATGATGGGGCACACAGGGCGGTACTTGGAGATGAGACGAGCGGACTCGCCGGAGGTGGAGAGAACGAGGATGGCAGCGGCGTTAAGGTCAAGGGAGGCGCGAACAGAGGCCATGGCGCAGGACTCGACAATGGAGACGGGGCGCTTGGCCAAGCTGCAAAGCTCCTCGAAGTGGCTGACGTAGGGGATGGTGTTCTCGGCCTTAAGAACAGCCTCGCTCATCTCACGGACGGCCTCGGTGGGGTAAGCACCCTTGGCGGTCTCACCAGAAAGCATGACGCAGTCAGCACCATCGGTAACAGCGTTACCGACATCGCTGATCTCAGCTCTGGTGGGTCTGGGGTTCTTGATCATGGACTCAAGCATCTGGGTAGCGCAGATGACGGGCTTGCCGGCAATGTTGCACATGGCGATGATCTTCTTCTGGGCAGCGAACACCTCGGCGGCGGGGATCTCAATACCCAAGTCACCACGGGCAACCATGACACCATCGGTCTCGGCGAGAATCTCAGCGAAGTTGTTGAGACCCTGCCTGTTCTCGATCTTGGCAATGATCTGAATCTGCTTGCCATCCTCGCCAAGGACCTCACGGATGTCCTTGATGTCCTGGCCGCGACGGATAAACGCTATTATCAAGTGTCAGTAACTTGTTCCGCGTATCCAAGGTCTTCCTAGGGTAAACTCACAAGCAAAGACCATGTCGACCTTGTTCTTGACACCGAACCTGAGATCGGCCTTATCCTTCTCGGAAAGAGCAGGGAGATCGACATCGGTGTTGGGAAGGTTGACACCCTTGCGGGAGGAGATGTAGCCGTTGTTGCGGGCCTTGACCTTGATGGTCTTGTCATCGACAATCTCGAGGACCTCGAAAGCGAGGACACCATCGTCGACGTAGATGATACGGCCAGGAGCAATGACCTTGGTGATGTTGACATAGTCGACGTACCTGCAACGATGTCAGCAAGGATCGGCCCCACTGGCGCATACCCAGAAGCAGATCGATTCGAACTTACATGTGCTCGATAGTGCACTCATCCTTGTACTTTTCATCAGTGGTGATGTTAAGGATGGTACCGGCGGAGATGGGAATATCCTCATCGTTCTTGGTGTTGCCGGTACGGATCTCAGGGCCCTTGGTGTCAAGGGCAATGGCAATAGGGCGGCCGGGATGAACCTTCTCAGCCTGGCGAGCATTGTCAATGACGGACTCTGCAGGTGGCTCAGTGTTAGCGGGTAAGCTGTGCAGGAGGATTTTGGCAAAACGAGGCGCTAATGGTGCTGGAAAGCTAAGCGCGTAGCAGCTTGGCGGACCTTGCACCATCGGCGGGTTTTCAAAGGCACCACCAAATGTAAGAGGGGAGAACACGTACGGTGATACTCGTAGCTACCGTGGGAGAAGTTCATGCGAACAACGTTGAGACCAGCATCGCGGAGCTTGTTAATGGCCTCGACCGAGTTGGTCTTGGGACCAATGGTGCAGATGATAGAAGTGCGACGGAACTCGCGAGCGGGCTGGAACTCAGTGTTGAGCTGAGCGAGCCACTGAATCTTGCCTCCGAGGCTGAGATGGTCAAGCGCAGTAGCGGCCATTGTGAAGGTTTGTGTGGTGTTGGAAGGGAATGGGAGATGTTATCGAGGTGTAAATTGAAGCGCGCGGGGTTGACGCGAAGCTTTGAGGTATGGGGAAATCTGCAAGATCGACAGCTTTAGCGTCAGTAAATAAAGTTTCAATCTGGGCAAGCGCAATGCGTAGGAATGACAATTGCAAGACACAGAGCGCAGTGCTAGTATAGATGCGGGGGTGTATGGTAAAGGTGTTGGAGGGAAGGAATTTTTTTAATCTTTTTATGATTTGATTCCAAGTTAGGGAGAGGGGGGGAGGGGGGGGGGAGGCTTCTGTCCCAGCTCAAATTACCCCGCGCCTCTCGCATGCTGGAAGTCACCAAACTCCTCTGAGACGGGGAGACAAATGATGATGACACAACATGGAACCCCGTACGAAGCAAAGAGATGCGAATCAGAGTGACCCGCCTCCCCATGGGCTTTTGTGGCACTTCCACTTTCAATTCAATTGGAGAGAATGGAAGCAATTGGGGGATCGCTGTCATTTCTGTCAAACGTACCTGAGAATGGAACCGAAGCTGATGATTCGGTTGTTCAGATCTCAAGACGAAATCTGAAGCTGAAGATTGGGGTGAATGAAGGAGGGGGGAATTGTTGAGGGAAAAGTTTGGGGAGAGGGAGAGGAAGAGAGAGGATAGAAATCAGAACAGAAAATCAACACCGAGACCGCGGAAGGGAAATGGACCTGGATCTTTTTTTTTCTGCTTTCTCGTCTCGCCCAGGCTCGAACCAATCTTTGACGGGCTATTGCGCGATAAAAACTGATAAGAGAAACGCCTGGCACCAGTCGCACCACTAGCACACCACGCCTGCACCACTGGTCTCCTTCCTTCCCCTCGTTTGGCCACTTTGGTATCTGGCTCTCGGCGACTCCTGTCCCTCCCAAGGCAGGAGCGGCAGTGCGGCCCTCGAAACGTCCATCGACAGAAGGTTGGATCCCCTCTTCGCATCCGCTCTTGACGCCCCCGTGTCGGCGTCTTCGCGGAGGCAGCATTGCTCTGGGAGCTGCAACCTTGTCATCCCGCCATAGTTCCGCCGCCGCAGTGGAGGACATCCCACCAGAGCCCACCAAAACACTCTCCAAGCCGCCACTGGCCGCCCGGTGCCGCGTAGCTTATGCCTGCCCCTGCCCCTCACCCCCCACCTGAGGTCGCTGACCAAGCCCCGCTTTCCCCCAAAAGGGAATGGTCAAGCCAACCCTAAATTCGGCCGGACTGGCAGGGGCACCGGCCATTGCCCGATCATCGCTCCATTGGGCTCCACTGCTGTGGACCATCTTGCAGACAGCCAAGAGAAGTCACGTTAGTTAACACGTGATCGTGCCAAGATGATCCCTCGAGAAGCCAACTCCCTGGACCCTGTCTCCTGACAATCCCTTCTTCTCCTTCCAGCCTTCCACAAGTTCCGCTCCACACAATCCTTGACCGCAGTGCCCCGGCTCCTACCCGCGACACTAGAGGTACCTCAAAGGCCGCTTTCCCGCCTCCCTGTGATCGCGCCGTTACGTTGCCCACCGCATCGCCCGACGCCTTGCTGCAGGCACTCAAGTTCACTCCCCACAGCACCTCCCGAAACACCTTCCTGACCTGCAACACCGCTCCCGCCCCGGGAATATCATCATCATCACCACCACCACCACCATCGACATCGACCCCCTAACCCGACGGCGCCGAATTCCGAACCGATTGTCGCATCGCATATCGCATATCGCATCGCATCGCATCGCATCCCGTCTCCTCCCTTCTCGATCCTCTTTTTTTTCCTGTCGCATCCAACAAAGCCACTCCTCAAGATGGTGGTGGGTACCCCGAAGTTTCTTGCGTCGTTAGCGTTGCTGTTCTTCATTCTGCGTCCGAATGTACAGAGAACCCCGGCCCCTTCTCCGGATTTTCCGATCTTGTCATTGTTCTCCATTGTCTTGCCTTCGCACTCGCCCGCTGCTGCGTCGTCGCTTGCTGTTCAACGGAGTTCTAAGAATCTCTTCTCCCAGCTCCTCGATTTGCTGACACTAGGCTTATGGTCGAAGCTCGGACGTTTGAGCCACTATGCCTTTGACGCTGTCCTGCGTAAGTCCCAGTTCCAGAAGGATGATCGATCGATGGTCATTGCTATTCTCGGCCTGTTTTCGATGCCCACTGACTCGATGTGCGCTGCGTTTGACAGTTTCGGCATTCCTCGCTGGAATGAAGCGATCGACCGGTCTGACGTGAGTTGCTTCCGATGCGCTCCCTGCCCTGCGGACACCGCCCTTGCGAGGCCTCGCCCCCTGTTTCGAACCCGAACCCGCCGATCCGTCCATACCTCCGGGTGACATTCTCGAGCAAAAGACTGACACTTGGTGATCATAGTTTCAAAACTGACAAGGTCGCTGGCGAAAACAAGGAGGTTGGAAAATGGGTTGACAAGTATCTCGGCGTCGGCGAATGGGTGATGGACCAGTCTGTCGCCATTGCTGGTTCGAGCGGCTGGTTCGACAGGACCCGATAAATGGTGGATGGCAGAGAACGTTGCGAGCCTTGGTACATCGAGGGCGATACCATCCTTCACAGCTGAAGAGTGAGGATCGAAATCTTTGTTCTTGTCCAAGGAGGCGTGCTGATTGGAAATCGGTTATTTCCCGGCTGGTGGAGGGGATTGTGGCGCCATGACACGAGCATTGGCGGTTTCTACCCCACGTATATATATATCTCTTGGACAGAATGGCCAGTCGTTATGTTTGTCGAAGAGAGGAAGCAGAGACGGTGTTGCTGAGTTTGGCTAGTTTTGGCCGGCTCAAGTGCTGATCGGCCTCCTCATATCCGGCAGTGGATGCCAGTAGCCAGGCTGGGTCGGGCGGGGGATGGATCTTTAGAGGACTGGGCGTTCAGGAGCGGTTCTGATGACCGCGGGATACACACCTGTTTCTTTTGCATTTTTGTGCTTTTCGATAGGGTTTTGAATCAGGAATAACTGCACTTTGATACCCTGGGACTTTCCAAGGGTTCTCGCAGCAGTTTTCGTGGCCCAAAGTTGCGCATGTCCGTTGTCTCCGCAAGTTGTTGGCTGTAGGGCTCAAAGTTCGGTTCGTGATCCCGTGGTTTCCCGACCCTTGTTCCGGAATCATAGCCGAGGGCTGTTGGCCAAGCCAGCCAGCCAGTCACGTCCGTGCGAATGGAGCTCTCCAACGATTCCGGGTTCAAGGCATCTGCACCACGAGTCATTTCCCTTGTTGGTGAATCACATGGAACTGAGAGATCCATTTCATTGTTGAACGTTTTTTCATCATGCACATATAAATCTGTGATATAAACATCAACATTGAAACAGTTGCGTGAACATGTAGTCCAAAGACCCACGTTATACGATCACGACGAGTCGCCATCAACCCTATGCTCAACTACCTACTCCGCCTAGAGGTTCTTAATCTCATATCTCGTTCGCAGCAACTCACCATATCGGATCAGCAAAAACGGCACCGGGATCAATGCCACGGCGATGAACGTCAGCAGACTGTTTCCCCATCCTAGCCCAAGCGTGTCGTACATTCGCAAGCCGAAGATGGGGAGGACAGCTCCAAAGACACTTCTCGCTACTGTGTTAGCAGCCAGAGCAGACGCAGCGTAGATGGTGAACGTGTCAATCAAGGCCTATCACGATATCAATCAGTCCCGTCCTTGGATTCTCCTCGACAAAAATAGGCAAGAAGCTCACCATGCTGATGGCCATGAATATCACGATATTGCCGAACCCGATCAGAACGTGGCTCAAAATCGGCACGATCCAGTGGACATGGTACTGGGCCGTCCAGCCGTAGATGAAGAAGCCAGCGGGTAGGAGTATGGCACCGATGGGGAGCACCGTGAGCCGATCCTCGGGGGTGCATGTTCCGTTGCCGTCGGGGCCGGCTTTGGCCTTCATGATGCGGTTGCTGGCGACACTAAAGAAAACGAGGCCGAGGAGTGAGCCAACGCCCATGCCAAGGAAGACCAGGCCGACGATCCTGGTGCCTGTTTTATTCACGCGCTATTAGCAATCGCCACAAATGACGCGGGAGGCATGCCTACCACATACCGAAACTATAAGTCTCCGGGTTGGTAAACACCCTCGAAATCGTGGTAAACATGAGGTACATGTACCCATAGACGATGGCGATATAAATGGCAAAGATGATGCAGATCGGGCTAAACACCAGCATCTTCAGCGGCCTCACAATGCTGCGCTTGAAGTAATCCTTCGGGCTCAATCCGATATCCAGCTTACTCCTCAACATGTCATTACCCGTCTCCTTGCGCAGCCTGTCGACCCTCCTTTGCAGCAGCACCGGCGCGTACGACTCCTTGCCAAAAACGAGCATGCACAGTGCCACCACGCCCGCCACGATCGTCAGGATCCAAAACACCCAGCGCCAGCCTAGGTCCGAGTCGCTGATGACGCCCCCGATAATCGGCGCGATGATGGGCCCCAGCAACACCCCCATGGTCATCAGCGCCATCGCTGTCGCCCGCTTCTCCTGCGTGATCATGTCCGAGATGGTGCCCCCGCCATTAGTCACCGGGCAACTACCGAAGATGCCCGACAGAAACCGGAACGCGATGAGCGCATTGAGACTCGGCGCCTCAGCGCACGCGATCAACAAAGCAATAAAACACACGTTGCAGCCATGATAAACAACCAGCCTTCCATAGATCTCGCTCAACGGGGCAATCACCAAGGGCCCAGCCGCGAAGCCCAGGATGTACACCGATACCACGAACGAGGCCAGTTCCGGAGAGGAGTTGTGAAACTCCTTTATCACCGAGGGGACACCGGGGGCAAAGATGGAGGAGGCCAAGGGCGCGATAAAGGTTTGCGCACTGATGAGCCCGACGTTGAGGATCTTTTGCCAGCGGGGCCAGTTGTAGGGGTTTTCGGGGTCGTTTTCGGACCACCAGATTATGTTGGCGTCGTCCTCTTCCGAGGAGGAAGTAACGGCGCCCGATGAGTCTTCCTGCAGATCATCGGGGTAGGAGGAAGCTTTGCCGGCTGCTGCCTCCTTTTCTATGTCGTGATCATCATGGTGATGATGGCTGGTATGGCTGGCATGACTTCTTGCCCGGGCGAGAGAGTTGCGGCGTATGGCCTCTTTGCGCCGCTTCTCGCCTTGCACGTCAAGTACGTAACCGATGTCGGATGGGATGTCGGCGTCGTGACCCTCGTCGATGGCTTGTTCTATCGATTTCTGTCTTTGTAGGGCAAGCCGTTCTGCTTCTTCTGGTGGAGAGGAACGGTTGTTATTGTGCTCGTGCTCATTGGTGATTGGGGCCGCCTGCCCCGGTAATTGAGATCTTGTCATCTCTGGTGCTCAGTAAGCGCCGTGCGGGCCGTTTCTTGAGACGGTTATCAGCCATTGTCACTGCCGAAGATGGGAGAGATGATATGTGCTCTGTCTTGTCGCTGGGGAAAGAAGTAAGATCATGGTTCTTGAATGCTTAGATATCCCCGCTGACTTGAACCATGTTTATGATCATCATGCCAGCCAGGGAAGGATCTGTAGATCGTGGGTGGAGGCCAAACCTTATTTCCATTCAGCGGGCCTCTCCCACGTTTTGTCCACGAAAATCAGTGGATCCTGTCATGCCATGATCTTTCAAGGGACTTGGACTGGACCTATAAAACAACTCCACACATACCTTGATGGTTAAGGTTGACAACCTGACGTCGGATACCACACTACTTGTTGGAAGATGCCGTAAACGTCGCCAGTGATGATGGCAGTGTTGCCCTAAACTTGTAAAGCGTAGAGCAATAAAACACCTCGTAAAGAGCGAAGACACAGCAATAACAAGAATGGCCAGGCACAACAAGCAAAGAGCAAAAGGAACACACAGTCGGCAACTCGGCAAGGAGAATAAGAAGCTAATTCGAGGAGAGAGAAGGAAGCTAGATGCATATGTAGGTAAGGTAGGTATGTATGGGTAAACATATCCATAACTGCCGCTAACTCGTAACGTACCTACATGAGGAGTGCGAATGGAACACTGTAGGAACTGTGATTCCATGGGGCCGAAAGAGTCCATTCCGTCCGTCACTCGTTCGGTTGCATAGCACGAAGGCAGCGCTTGCTCTCGGTCTCTGGGGTAGCACGCGGGTAGGAGTGAGCAGTCTAGACGTCCATAGCGTCACTCTTTTCCCCTAGCGCGAGGTCGCTCAGGTTGCATTTCCGGAAAGGAGACGCGTCAAAAGAGAGCGGCGGGGAAATAGATCGGGCGTTGTGAGACTGGATGGTAGTTGTGCTCATGGCGTGCATAAAAGCGTGCACAAAGCCGTTTTTCTATGACTGTCCCGGAAGAGCATCGGCAAGACGTCGATCCGGGAATATCATCTCAAATGATCCAACCAATCCCACCCGACCCCTCGGGACGATGCCGACCCCGAGACCAAACCCGAACACAACAACCGTTGTCGGTTGATGTCTTGATGAAGCAGGAAGCAGTGGTCAGCAGGCTAGATAATGTCAGCCTATAACCGACTGAGTGGCTGACGGGCAGGGTTGGATGGCGTTGACAACCTTAGTCGGATGCACGAGGCCGGCCACCCGTCGACCCAACATAAGCTTTCTTCGCTCGTCCTTCCTCCCCGTCAACATTCGTCCATGTTGCTGATTGGACCGTTGCCAAGATGTGTTTTACCGGTATCCTATCACCTTCTGTCTTTGGCGGGAGAAGGATGAGAAACGAGAGGCTCGAAGGGTGGTATGAATGTAACGGGAAGCTTACAGTGAACACAGTGACCATGAGGAAGGGAGACGCGTCCCACACACCCACATTCATAGTTCACACAGTTTGTGGATGGAGGTAACTTTTTATCTCCGGGTAGAGGGAAAAGCATTCTGGTCCAAACTTGGCGTACAGCTAAAGCATACTAATCATAAATGTTGAAGGGTGGTATCGCCGTACTCATAATCGGCGAGGACCTGCGATGCTCACTTATCTAGAGGTAGCAAATCTGGTCATCTCGGCCCCCTTGGTATTCCTTTAGTCTTGATGAAGTGCACGGAAATACAGTCAAGGGCTCCCAGTTCCGGGAAGCGGTTGGTGTGTATGCACCCCTCGATTACCAGATGTCAACGACATAACGCCGTACTCCGTAGTACTCCGTTGGCTTGCCAGCCTTGCCAATGCCTTCCGGATAGAGCTGACTGTATTACAGGCACTTGAGATTTATTCACAGGGTGTTTCCCAAAAGGAAGTGTCGGGGTGGTACAGCATGGAAATGTTGCTTGTATGCTTGAAACGATGTTTGTTACTTGGAAGGAAAGCATCCCAATTGAGAGGTCCAAGGTATATGTACAGCTCGAACGACACATGCTACCTACCTAGAGAAACTTTGATCGATGTATGGAGTTGATAAAGAGTAAGTACCTTGTGTGTGTTTGCGTGGGGGCTTGAAGAAAGTGCAACAAAGCCAGTCAACGACATGTTGTCGCAGAACGGCAGCGAACACTGCAACAACAAGGGTTTATTCGGCTGTAATAATCTCACACAATTAGCGACATCCATCAGCTCCTCATGGGATTTCCTTTTCAACGCTTGATAATGTCGAGACGAAGCTACTCCGAGTAGCCTCTGTTTGATGTGCAGGACGAGACGGCGCTTTCCCATCTTCGACTTCAGGAACCCCATGAACCCTAACCCCGAGCGAGAGCTTATTGCATCATGATGATCATGTCCGACCGTCAAAAGGGTCTTTATCTTGGGACAAGTCGCGTTCACAAGATGACTGGGCAATCCCAGTAAGCTCCATTGTAATGTACCATGCGACGGTTTGAAGGGATGGCCATGTACGTGCTGAGCGGATATGGCCTTTGGAAAACAACCTCGTCAAAGATTCGGACAAACTCATACTTATTCGGTCATTTACTGACCGGGCAGATCGGTCAACTTATCTTTCCTTGTTCTTTGGGATCTAGATCACTCAGCCACCAAATATAATGTCGTTCCCTCAGTTCGTCTGCCTCCCTCCAGAACTCCAAGACCTAGTCTGGGACCAGGCAGCAGCCCTCTCTCCATGCCTTCACTTCCTCCAGAAGCTCCCGGACACCAGCTGGGTAGATTGGGACATGCATCTCGTTCCGGACCGACACCAATCCGCAGACATCAACTTGCGAAATCTCTCGCTCGCCTGCCATGACGCCCGTTCGGCCGTGATCCGACACACCCGGGCGATTGAGCATAAGACACTTGTGCCCATGGCCAAACACGGTAGCCCGCCTGTGTCGATGACCCCCTTAACCCTCGACCTAACCAGCGACCTCGTCTGCTTCGGAGGAGCGGACACCGGACCAAGAGAAACCATGGCGGCGGTGGATTGGGCTGATTTCGAGCACATTGTGTTTACGGGCGCCCGCCGGTTCGCGGTAAGATACTTTCGCCCTGGATGGAACGTGTGGGGAATTTCGACGGACGACGACCCCAGCGGCGACGAAGGAGTGGGGTTGAGCCCAGAGGAGCTGCAGGCCATGTGGAGGCATGAGTGTGTGCACTGGACACATGTCGGGGTCGCGGGGGGCCCGGGGCCCGACGGGCCTGACGGCGACGGGGAAGGGAGGAGGGATCTTGAGATTCACTATCCCGAAGCCGACCCGCCCTTTTGTGCGCGGTGTGTGGCTAACGTGGTGAGAAGGTTTGAGAGGTTGGAAGAGTTTTGGCTGATTATTGACCCGGACTGCTTGGACATGTTGGATGCGGCGATGGGTAGGGACGGTGGTAAAGAGGACAGAAGTAAAGAAGCGATGGCTGAGGAGGGGAAAGGGACAGAGACGATGGATAAAACAGAGATGTCGGCCACTGGGCCAAGAAAGAAACGGACTTTCCACTCGTACAGCCGGACGTATTTCAGCCTGGATGACCATGATGTGCGAAGTGAGCCGAGAGGCCCTATGAGGGCTTTACAGGCTATCAGAGACAACTTGGTTCGTCTCGTATCCCCTCTCTTCATCTGCGCTCAAGATGATGTGAAGAACAAGCAGCTAACATTCTCCAAGGAAGTAGCATCGATGCTGTCCGGTTCAAGGCCGGATTGGATGAATCATGTTCGGTATGGACTGTTGTCGTGGCGAGATGACCGGCAGACCAAGTGATGAGGATCATTTTCAGGGTGCCGATGCTGATGTATCCGGACGATACCATGGTCCCGTCATCCTCGTCCTCATCGCCGTCGAATCCGTTCCCCGGGGCCGTATGCCCCCAATCGACTTGGGTCGATGATTCACGACCAGATTGGAAAATCAGATTTGCAAAGCGTATCGTGACATGTGTCGCGACTGTCGGTTAGACTGAAATCGGGGAGGCTGCCTGGGGAGATGGAATAGGGGAGTTCAGGCGACAGTTGCCCGGGGAGGAGTCCGGGAGAAAACAGTGCCGACGTCTCGGGAGCGTCTCACAACCCCGGTCCTGCAGCGGAGATGGTGAGGTGCCCTGGTTTGATGTCATCACTAGTGAGGCGCTAACAGTGACCTACAGGGCTTTCAGAGGTCTGTAAACCTATCACAGCGCCGTCTCGATCCCTGACGGACATGCCCTGACGCCGAAGCGAGAAACATCCGAACCAGAATCCAACCTTGGGTCATCACTCCTCCTCCATCTCCTCACATCCATCGAGGGCCGCCATCCCTGCGGCCTCATGGCTTCCAAGACGATCGCCAAAGTTTAAGCTTAATCCCAATGCCTGCACGTTGAATGACAGACTGAGACCATCTCTGTCCGTGCGCCAAGAGAACGAAACACCAGGATCAGGCTCCAGACCTTCATCGACCACCACCACCGCCGAAGGTTGCTCTGATGAACCTCACTCCCATCATCGGGAACATCGGATGCCCGACTCTATCCCCGGGCGGCAGCTCTTACAACGGCTCATTATCAAGCCTCGGCAAAGTTCAAGGCTAGTTTTCCCCAGAAAGACTTCTCCTTGAAACTCCCTGAATGCTACCTTTCCACTTGCTAAGAAAGTGAGTACCATAATGAGCAGTGAGCAATGTTCCCAACCGTCTGCGGTTCTCGTGTTCTTCCTTGCCATGAACATGGGAGCGTCATGGCTTGCGTCCCAAGATCCCCCACAAGATCCATCCAGCTTCTAGCCCAGACCGCCGGTAAGATCTGCCAGGGTTCAGGTGAATCTCAATACGGGCCCAGAGTTCACCAGGCTGATGAGATGGTGGTCCTCTTTACCGCCCATGGTATATGTGGGCAGGGGATACCCCTAGCCTAACCACAAACGATTGACACAGGGACAGCAGTGCCTCGTCAGAGATGAGACGATCTCAACAACACCTCTTTTCCTCAGTACCTGGTCTATTGTCGTTCTGTAGTGTAGAGGTATGCTATCCATCAGGGGCAACCCATGAGATGGACTTTGATACTGGGTCCAGATCGCTCGGATGCCGTAATTGTTTCTATATAACTGGACTCTCCTCCCGTGAACATCACCGCTTTCTCTTTCCTTCTCATCATCAGCTTCACTCTCTTCTTTCGGGTCTCCGGTGTCTACAGTTCTGGCAACTATTTCGTTCTTCTCACTCTTTCAACCTTACTACTACTACTACTACTCTATTACTTGACTTCTTTCCAAACCGCTCGGCCGGTCTTCGCTTCTTCCATATTTCAGCATTCTTGTATCCTCTAAACTACCAGTGCTATCACCCGTCAAACCAGAAAAGCTTGATCATGTACTCCAAACTTGCTCTTGCCGCCCTTCTTTTGGCCACGGCCGAAGCTCGCTTCGGTCAGGAGCAGTCCGTTGCCAGCATCATCTCCTCTCTGAGCAATTTTGGCAACCCTGGTGTTGCTCCCACCCTCGCTGGCGCCACTCCCGGCGTCCTGCTCGCCGGTGCCAACGCTTGTGATAAGGTTAGTACATCTACAAGCTTGACGATACCCTTCCTTACTGACAGATATCTCTAGCTTACCCTTGCCGACCGAATTGTTTCGGAACTTGGCAATGACAAGGCCGTCATTGACGCAGCCAAGAAGCTTGTCGCCGCTGAAAAGAACTTCAACCCTTTTGCTGTCTCCATTCCTTCTATTTGCTCCGATCCAGCTCTGCCGGCCACCCAAGAGCTGAGGGGCATCGTTCCCCTTGTTGACCCGGCTGTGACCGGCGCTGATGTTGAGAATGCCAACTCGGCCAAGTCTCTCACCACTCCGTTCGCCAACGATGGGTTGAGTGTTGCGGATATCGTGAAAGCCAATGGCTTCTCCAACTTCACTGCCCAAAGCTCCAGCGGATCTACCACCGCGCCTGCTGCTGGTAACAATAACAACAATAACAATGACAACAACAACAACAACAACAACAATGACAACAACAACGACAACAACAATGGTAATACTGATGCTGTTACCTCCGCGGTCACTTCCGCTACCCCTGCCGCCACCAGCGTTGCCTCCAAGGTCAGGTGTAGTAAGGCCAGTACTCTGACCACGATCGTCCAGCCCGCCGCTACCTCCGAAGCTGCCGATGCCGGTAACGGTAACGACAACAACGACAACAACAGCGACAACAATGGCAACAATAACGACAACAACGGCAACAATAACGACGACAACAGCAACAACGGCAATGACAACGCCAACACCGGCAACGACAACAACAGCAACGGCGTTCAAAAGTCCACCCTCGCCGGCGCCGACTTTGGTCTTTGCGTGCCCACCATGAGTTTCGTCGGCGGCCGCGGCAACCGGAAGGCCACCGAGTTCACCTTCCTGCCTAAGGACCCGCTCGTCGCCAAGGGCCAGCAGGAGGCGCTCAACCCCAACATCATCACCAACCGCATCTGTGACCAGCTGACCAACGTCTGCCAGGCCAACCAGGCGGCCAAGACGGCGTGCTTGGATGCCAAGGCCCAGATCCAGGCTCTTGGAACAAAGGACGCGTCTACTGCGCAGAAGTGGAACGAGCTTTTGGGTTTTGCTGGCACTGATGTTTCTCAGTAAGCAAGTAGGATAGTTTATATGGCCATAGGGGGGTTTGGAGATGATATCATGTGGGGATTGTGAAGATGGTGGGATGGTTTGGTGACAACATAGTAGTATATGTATATGGATCCACCTGAATGCATGTAAATATTTTGGAGCTGAACTTTGGATGTTGTTTGCCTTTCCGTCGTACACTTGTGATCTTCGTCCAGCCCTGTAGTATAGAATAGCCGCTCGGTGGGACTACGATTCCAGAACTTGGAACCTACCAGATAGTCAGTAGTTCTTCCACCTATCGGAATGCTACCGAGCAGTTTCATCCTTTAGGTATGACGGCCACAGTGACAGAGGTAGACTAACAGAATAGTACACTACCAAATTTATGACGCCTTAATAGTGCCGAGAATGCGCATGTAGCGTATCGATGTCTGTATCAGACGGAAGCATATACCGGCAGCAGTGTCTGACACAACCTCGGCAGTGCACCGTCGGGTCGTATACATACGGGAGTTTTCGTATGAGGTAAGTACCATATTCTGGGTACCCATCTACGGAAGGGGAGAGAAAGCTAGTTGTCTCAAATTTTTGAAAGAGCGCATGAGCTTCATGTCCTTTGTCAGTGCCTGGTTGTGTTGGGATGAACTTCTACACGTGGGTGGGGCACCTTGAGGGGGACTAAATGGAATGAGGTCGATCCTTCACTAATGATGCCAAGCAAATTCCGAACGTTCGATAAGTCGGGGTCGGCAACCCCCCCGAAAATAGCTCTGGAGCTTGGATAGGGAGGTTATGCCATCCCGTGTGTGGATTACGTGCTATTCGGAGACTTATTGTGCTTCTACACGTGCACGAATGGAATCCCGTTCGGGTTCGATCGAACAAGATCGGGGATTCGGAGTCCACACTACGCGTGATGAATTGGTAATCGACGATCCCCAGTCTCCACGGTGCCTCGGTGTGAATGTTGGACACCCTCCCTCCCCCTTGGCCCTTGCCTCGCGCATCCGTGGTGCTTCGTAGTATATAGAGGTAATCGCTACTCCCAAACTCTATACACCAACTCCTACGAAGCTTCATTCTTGACCAATGCTTACCAGACCAAGCTTGAACATATCAACTCACAACCAATCCATCTGAATATACATCAGCCAAGATGAAGGAAGCTATCGTAGCCGCTGGCAAGTTTGACCCAAGAAGACCGCAAAAAGCATCACCAAACTAACACTCACTCATCCTCAGGACCCCAAGTCCAGATCATCGACTCCCCCATCCCCTCACCCAACGATGACCAAGTCCTCATCCGCGTCGTTGTCAGCGGCTGCAACCCCAAAGATTGGAAGCTCCCAGGCATGATGCCTGACACCCCACCCCTCAACCAAGGCGACGACATTGCCGGCATCGTCGAAAAAGTCGGCTCGCGCGTATGGGAATTCAAACCCGGTGACCGTGTCGCCGCATTCCACGAGATGTTGACCCCCCACGGCAGCTGGGCCGAGTACGCCGTGGCATGGCAACACACCACCTTCCACATCCCCAAGGAAACAAGCTTTGAGGAGGCCGCCGCTCTGCCGCTTGCAGCCATGACCGCCGCCCTCGGTCTCTTTTCCCGCTTGGGCTTGCCCGAGCCGTGGGTCAAGGCCGTTTCGGATGAGGAGCGCCAAACCACCCCGCTAGTCATCTACGGCGCTTCGTCGGCTGTCGGGTACTACGCCTTGCAGTTGGCCAAGAGGAGTAACATCCACCCTTTGATCTGCATCGCCGGGCGCGCAGGTGGCGAGCGCATTGCTCCGCTTTTGGACCAGGACAAGGGCGATGTGCTGATTGATTACCGCGAGGGCGAGCAGGCGGTTGTTGAGGGCATCAAAAAGGCTTTGAACGGCAGGCCGTTGCTGCATGCTCTGGACGCGGTGTCAGAGAAGGGAACGCCGGAGCACCTGGCGCAGGTGCTTTCGCAGCCGGTGAAAAAGGGGGATAAAGAAGTGAGGGCCAAGGCAACTTTCGTCTTGTTTGGTAAGATGGGTGTGCCTGACTTTGTGGATCAGAGCACTACTCTGGTTGGTAGCGTGCACCAGGATGAGAAGGACTTTGGCTATGTTTGGTATCGCTATATGGCGAGGGGATTGCAGGAGGGCTGGTTCAAGGCACAGAGGACAGAGGTGCTCCCGGGAGGATTGGCGGGCGTGCAAGAGGGATTGGAGAGGTTGAAGGATGGAAAGGCGAGTGCGGTGAAGTATGTTTATCGGATTCAGGAGACGGAAGGGGTTGAGAGGAGCGAGGAGTGACAAAGCAGAAGCTATAGAGTTCTGTGTCAAGTCAGTTGTGCTTGTTGTTGTATTGAATGATAGCCAGTCTCCTGCAATGTGTATATGACGACTTATACAACCTTTTCGAATATATACATATATATAACTGACAGCTTGCGAGCACATTCAAACAGAGTTGTAAGATGGCTCGAGGACAAATGAAGGCGAGTACAAAACCAGGGTACATGGCCAACGCCTGCGAAAGCAATGCCTGTACAAGCCACCTCTGCATTCTTGACTGGTGCCAAGAAAGAAGCTCTTCGACAAGAGAGAATTTCATGATCATCCCCCCCTCTCCAAAAAAAAGAAAAAAACCAGCTTCCCCACGTTCTCTTTCAAGCATGGCCTCTTCTCCCATTGCGTAGATAAGACGTCTCCCATTCTTTTGAGTGATATCCTTTACTTCGCCCCTAGGTCTATAACCGCCAGGCGGCCCACACGTCAACCCAAAATTCATGGCGGCCAATCTGGTCGGCCTTCAATTGTTGGTCTTCAACGTCCAGAATCCCGGAAAGATAAAACCAACAATCGAAGCGAGAGGCCCGAATGAAGCAACACCACACCTAATCTGCGGCCAATCCCGTATTTTCCGCGGTCGCTTACATGCAGAAAGGTGCAGCAGCTACCCCCGAGAACGCTGTTTGGCCGCCCAAAGCCCAACCCCGCCTCGGACAAGGATCGACATCGGTCCATGTGGTGGTGGATGTTACCCATACCTATTGCGTATACATTATCCTACTTATCTAGCTCGTCCTCGGACGTTTTGATCTGTGCCTTTTCATCTTCACTTGCTCAATCCTCATATATCGAAAGCAGAGACCAGCTCGATCCGATCAAGTGGATAACCTCGGACAACAACCTTCACTTAGCATAACCACCCCAGAAAATAGTCCAACATGACTTCAAGCCGACCACTACCCCCTTACACACCCATTCCCCACGATGGGAGCATCGATGGAAATGCCAACCCCAATTCCCACAACGACAACGACGACGATGCCCAATCCGACATCAGCGTCCCCTACTCCTCCCTCACCGAAAGTACCACCACCACCGGCAGCAACGGCTTTCTCACTCCCACTTCCTCAGATGCCCATACCGTTGCCGCTGAAGGGGTAAACCTACAGACCATCAGCTCGGTCCTACATGAGATGGAGTCTTCTGATCATCATGACGGACGTATTGATGATTCTCTGGCCCAATGGAGATCTTTGTACCACGATGAGATTGAACGGCAAATTATCGAAAACCGAAATCGAGACCGGGAGAGAAGGAACACGATTACCAACACTTTGAGCGCGAGAAACCTACAGTTGCACACCAGCCAGACGAGTGAGACATTGGCTGGCTCAGGAGGAGGAGAAGGAGGAGCTAGCCTTCATGACAATGCACAGACGAAAAGAAGAGAAAAAGAAGAGAGATCAAAGTCGAGCCCAAGCGACTCCTCATCTACCTCCTCTGGCTCATCGTCGTATATGAAGTTCGTCTTCAACCTCAATTTCACCATCCACCGTTCATTCTTCGTCGTCGTCCTCCTTCTTGCCTTCTTAGTCGCTTACTTACGCCTTCCTTTCCAATCTCTCAGTGCGCTGACGACGGACAGCGCCAGTGCCTCCAACATCTCCCACGATGACCAGGACCAGCTCCCGCCATTAACCGTCCTCACCCCCGCCCCCATAGAAGCGGCGAGTCGCACCCGATCTTCAACCCCCACGCCGACATACGAAAGTGCTCCCACCTCTCCTTCCTCCACCAGATCTCAAAAATCAAAACCCAGGCGACCGCCCTCCCCCTCTTCCCGCTACACACGCCACGCTGACCCCCAGCCCAACCAAAGTTTTATCCTCCTCGAAGCCTCCACCGGCCGAGCGCTGACGCTGATAGACGGGAACTTGCGTTTGGTTCACGTCCCTGACCCAGATCTGATCAGCCTCACTAACCAAAAAGGCGCTGACCCTTACCTCTTTCCCAATAGCCGGGCCAAACAGCCTTGCATCGTCAAGGGCCAATGTAATTGGCACTGGCACTGCGTCGAGAACGCGGGGTGGCTCGGCTTCCGCAACGCGGCGTCGGGAACCTTTTTGGGGCACGACATGTGGCAGAATATCATTGCGCGGGTGTACAAGCATCAGGGTTGGGAGTTCATGGCTGTGAGGCCGGCGCTGGAACGAAAAGGATGGTACTTGATGGTGACGCATTGGGAAAAGTTGCACAAGATCAACTTTTTGGAGGGACCAGGGGTGTTTGTGGCGAGAAACCCAATGGAGGGGACGGTCTGGGAGTTTGTTAGGGTTTGATTTACGAGGGGGTTCGGATCACTTGCGCCTGTGGTATTGGAGACTTCTTAAGGGTAGGGCAAGTTATCCGCATGGCTGGTGCAAAGTTAGATGTATGAGTGGCAAGCGGTGGAAAGTGTCTTTGGAAGTGTGTGTTCAACAGCAGCTTCTCTACGTGAGTGAAAGGCCTCTGAGTTCGGACTGACTTCCTGTGAAAGATATGGTTAGCTTATCGGCGGTGTTCAAGTTCATTCCCTCCGTACTTACAGAGAAAAATAAGCATGCAACTTTGAGTTCTTGATAGCCACCCTCATCCACTCCAAGACTAGCTGGATCTCAACATCGTGCCACCCCCAACCATTTTGCAAATACAAGTTGCAGATCCTTCCAGCCCAGTTTCGACAACATGAAGTCAACAAAGCGCCGCGGAGTACAGGATTGATGAAATCAATATCATCAAGAACCTTCTGTGGGGATGTCCTCGTCTTTCAGGCACTCTTCTGAGTCTCTTCACTGCGTTTCGCTTGTGGCACCCTATGCAGCATTGCCAATTTCGTTGCAAGTCTTGATCCCATCGACATCGTCACAGATTTCCATCTTCTGTACCCGAGCACTCACCTCCTGTGGTCCCCGATACTCAGCGTGGCCAACAATATCCTCGGCCGGGATGTCGTAGACAGCCTGCTGCCGGATGATGACGCCTCTGCTGTTGCCGTCGCCGTCCCTGGCAACCGTGATGTTTGAGTCAATATCGAGAGTGGCGCTCCCTTCAGAGTTTTGGGTCCATCGGAAGGCTGTTGAGGCTCGGGCAACTTCGCTTCTGCTTGCATCATTTGCTCTGCGGACTTTGCTTGCCCCTTGATATTGACTGTAGGAAGTCCGTGTGGCCTTATCTTCCGACTTGGTGTCGGTTGAGTCCAACGACGGCAGGTCACACTCAATCCAGTCCGTGGTAAGAAGGTTGTTGGCTTCGGGTGTAGAGATGGAGGCGTGACAATAGGCGGCGGGGGCAAAGGGGCCTGCGGTCAGATTGAAGTTGTAACTGGAGTTGGAACTAGATCAGCCAAAGGTAGCTTCACAGAACTGGGAAGAACAACGCTTACTCGACGAAAGGCCGGTTCGCGGAAGTAGAGGCAGACAGTCCGACAATGCTAACATTCCGCTGAAAGTCGGCGCTCCGGGGGTCAATCAAATGCGCAACATCGACGGCCAGGGCATTGTGGTTACTGTCGGTGGAGGGGAAGTCAACGTATTGAGGGGGGACGACATGGGCGAGAGTGACCACGCAGAACACTGCGCCAATGTAAAGCTGCATGATGATGTGTATATCGGTGGACTTGGGGGAGTGTTTTTGATCTTTCTGGTAGTTTGAGTATTCGAAGGATAGGATGGGATGTGATCAGATGAGATGAACTCGGACACCAAGAAAAATCTGCAAACTCCCCATGTTTTTCCATGGATTGAAAAGGCAAGTGGAAGTCAAGCACGATCAAGACATGGAAGGAAATACAGGCCATACAGGCAGTAGTTGCAAACTTCCTTGGTTGAAATGTGACCTGCCACATGTCACCTGTCTCTCATCACTCCTTCCGCCGGGAGTTCTGGTCCTCCACTTCCACTTCCAGGCTGGCGTCTGATGTTGTTCGAGCTTACCTCTTCTATCCCATGTCTTACACCGTGACTACCTCTACTTGTCCACTAGGTACCCGCGCCTGCTGCCACACCTTCCCAGACCAGACCAGACTCGGCGCCCGACGGGGGTTTTTAGTCCACCTGGTCGGTCGCTCTTTCACCAACAACCGCTTGGCCGATGGCGCAGCGGTCAACCGTCCTAACACCTCAAACCTGCGAAAAGGTTACCTGTCGGTTCGGGAACGATGATGTACATTCAAGTAACCCAAAGAGCGTTCCACATCGTAGACCGCGACCACTTGTTTGCAAGTGGGATCTGTTAGTATCTGCAGCGACAGAAGAAGGTAAGATAACAAATCAATAAAAAAAGGTTGAGGTGTTTAGATGGTCGACTGCGGTGATCGATTGAGCGGTTGTTGGTATTTTATTGTATCTTTTTTGTGCCATCTCCGGAGGTAAAATGAGATTATGGGTAGGGTTGAAGGAGGTGATCGATTCGAACGGTGGTTGTGTCTCGTTTTTTCTTCTTCTTTTTCTTCCTCAGGATTGGTATTATTCTGACATTTTTTATTTTTTTTTCGATACATCCAGTGCTAGGTAGTTTACTCGATCACGTTCCTTGTCCACAAGTGCGGCCTACTTTTAACATTCCATGGCGACAGTGACCAAGTATCTATCCAGATTCTGGAACCTGCTCATGACAATTGAAGTTACGATGCCAAGTTGAGCAGTTACTCAGGGCAAGGACGGCTATTCCTACACTGCAAATAAAAACACATGAGATATTTCGAAACAAGAGAAAGGACAAGGCTCGATATGTTATTCAGGATGTTCGAACCAATGCATTACTATTACACATTATCACCTCTAGCAGGTAGGTAACTAAAAGCATCGTCCAAACTTACAAGTCAAAAATCCTTTTTTTTTTATCCTTTCATGATCAACTCGAACAGCGGCTACAGCGCGCTTTTTGTCTTTGTCAACCCACCTCGCTTGCTCCCTCAAGTCTCAACCCAAACTAGAGCCTATACCCAAGTCATACCACCTGCTTAATACGCCCTTATCCTCGCATCATCCTCACTCTTCCTCCCCTCATCCATCCTCATCCTCTGCAACCTTGATGCCAACTTTGCGAACCGCTCATCCTTCCCTCCCAACGCTTGCAAAGCCTCCCTAATCTTCTCCACCGTCTCCTCCCTGAGGGGTCCACTCGGCCCAAACCGATCCCAAATCTCAATCGTGCCCTCGCCCACATTCCTCAACTTGCCAAGGTCATTTCCGATATACACCACCACATAACTATTCCTCCAATCCGGCCTGGCCTCCCCCGAGTTGTCCACAATCCAGCCCGACCCGTCATCATTCATCCACTCCTCCAGCTGTCCCTCCTTTCCCCACGCAATGATCTCCCACCGCTGGCGCATAATGGGCCCGTTCACCTGCGTGAACCCCTGGTCCAGCTCGTCGAGGAAGAGATCGGTTTGCCCGACGTCTTGGATCGCCGACGAGTGCAGGTTCTGGTACGAGCGGACGGCGAGGATCCGGTCCTTGTCGGGCTCCATATCCGAGTCGGAACCCTCAGAATCCGAAGAGACGGAGTTGGTGCCCCGGATCAGGCTGAGGCAGATGCGCGCATTGCGCTTGCCTGATTGCTCTTCGGGGTTGGTCGAGTGCGTGGTGTGCCATGTGCCGGTGATCCAGGGTAAGTTGGAAGAGGTAAAGTGGGAAGGTGTGGCGCCGTCGCGAAGGTGGTAGGGGGGGTTGACGGTGATGTTGACTTCGGTTGAGAGGGCCATTTTTTTGTTTCTTTCTCTTTCGACTTGAAAGTCTTGAGATATTGAAAAAGTAGATAATTGAGTATTGATGATGGCTTGAGAGACTAGAAGCTGGGGGCTTGAAGTCGAAGTATGTTGAAAAGTTCCCTGTTGTTTATGGATTTGCTGTCCAGACCCAACGGTTCTTATACACGTAGTCGATCCGGGATATACCGGTAATTATCGGGGTCTAGAATATCGTCAATTTTTTTTCTTTCCCTCTCATGCTATTCCAGGCCTTGCTCATTATCAGGGGGTGTTGACTAGTGACCAGCACAGGGTCTCGTTCGGAATTCGAAGCACTTTGGTTGTGCAGCTGAAAGCTTCTTCCGCTAAAAACTAACACACGCCCCTGCCCGCACACCGCCATAGTGTGCTTCTATCCAATGGTAACTTGGGTGTAGCTGGGGTGCGTGCGAGGCCCATTCCACCGTTGATTTCCTCAAGATCTCATATGGTTTATATTTGGCTGTCTTTTCCCATATGAGATGATGTGCACTTGGGTTGAAGAGTTGGACCACATGAGCAGGTTCTGGTTCTTTTGATCTTCACCTCCCCCCGTCCTCCCCCCGTCGTCACCTATCCACCCAAAAAGGTTACCAATTAAACTGACTCGTGGAGCACCGGTGGCGAAGTGGTCAATAGTGTACAACCCTACTAGCTTGGTAGGTAGCCATCTTCGACCCTCGTATGCATCGCTTTTTGGGTTGTTCGCCAAAACGCAGGTACGGTATCGTGCAATTTCCACAACTGGGCCCTGGCTGGTCTAGTTATCTCGCTTTCCTGGGAAAGGGGGTTTCCTCAACTCCGGCACTCCGTGAGGCGACGCCCGAATCCATTTCTTTGTCGACAGGCAAAACATGGGTAATCGCTGAGGCGAAGAAAAAGACTCGAGCTGCATCAAGGAGGCTATTCTGATGCATACAGGAGGGGTGGTGTTGGGCAAGGTGTTGGGGTCTTTTGTTGACATGTCTCAAGTCTTGGCATATGCTTGTTCGGGGACCACTTAAAAAAAGGGGGGACATCCCGTTTGAGAACGAGCGGCCAATGGGCGGGGAAAACCTGCACATGCATTCAAACTGTCAATTCCCCTCGAAGTCCTTGAAACGTTGAAGAAACCTGTGAAACCAAACAATGGATCAGATAGATGGGTAAGAAAACAAGGACAGCCGAACAGCATACAGAACAGCCTTCACCCAAGTCATCGTTCTCCGTAAGGAGAGAAGCTAACGGTGAGGGCGTTGTAGAAGATGGCGCTTTAGACAGCGTCATTGAGCTTCGAATATATCCTTTTCCTAGTACACATGGGAAGGAAACGACGTCGACAAGATGATGGAGGAATGGGTGCTGCATCCATCTCGCCCTTCCATCCGTATCGCTAGCTGCTGATTTGGGCATCAGGACGGGAACTCAATCCTCGATGGCGGGAGGGTGTTGCAAGTTTGAGACCGCAAGTGCGAAACTGAGGTTGCAAGGAGATGGACTGCACTGCTTCTGCCTCAGCTTCAGGAGAAGCCCCCTCCTAAAGTCTGATGAAACTAAAGAGTTGGATCAATCAGCGAGCGTTGTATCCTCCTACCCATGCCCAGAGATCCATCTCACCATCCACCTCCCATTGCGCCCCGAAATGGATACCCTGCAGATCTTGGCGCGGCCGTGTCCGCATCTTCCGCATGTGAACACCAAAAGAGGTAACGGAACGGTGCTGCCCTCCGCCCGCCCGCCGACAACTTCCACATCACTGAGTCATTACGCCCTTCTGGAGAGCTTATAAATTATTGTCTGTGCCCTGTGTATTAGCCAGCTTGAACTTCATATTGGGATGAAGACTAAAGACCAAATCTGTACCATGGGCCGCATCGCATGTTCTGGTTAGGAACACCGTGATCCTTAAAGACGACGTTTCGAATGTGCTCAGGAACCTATCTAACATGCCGTGATGATGAAGGTCAGTAACAACCTGGAAAAATATTCAGTTGAGGTGTATGAGATCGGCTGATCTTCACCCTTTCTACTCATAAACCCGCTATTAGCATCAACAGCAGTACTGAAGAAACACCAAACCAACTTCCATCTAGCTTATCCCACCGCCGCCGAAAATTAAAATGCCCCCTTTCGTTTGCCTCGCTATGGGCGCAACTTCCGTACTTTGGTCGTACCACCATCCTAGAGATCATTTTTCGCGGTGACAAGGTCACCGCCACCGGTTGCAATGTCGAGCAGCCCCTTGGCGAACTCAAGTCTGGCACCGTCGCCCTGCCTAGACGAGATATAATCTCCAGCGCCGAATTCCTGAAGCGCCAGGTTTAAGAAGCCTGGGGCGCCTTTGGCCCCATTGACGTCCTTGTCAACAATGTTGGAATGTCAACCATGCAAAGTGTGACAGAAGCCGAGTACCTATCACTCCGCTTACACTCTGAGCGCCCTGCAAGTTGGTTAATTTGGACCTTTGACTCGGAAGCAGCGAGTCTTTCACAGCCCCTATCCTCCAAACGGACCTCTTCGCCCCTCTCACATTGACTTTGTTCTCGTGCAACCACCCTTGCGAGCAACACGAACAGCCACCCCGTCACAATCGCATACACCTCATCGTCCATTGAGTGCGGTGGGTTTTCCACCGATGTTGGCCACCCACGGCCCCAGACGGATGCTTATTTCAGCGCAGAAGGGACTAGTCTGCCAGATGCGCATGGCCGGCTGTTATTGAAAGAGGGGCGGTGTGTGTGATTATAAACGATCCCATGAAATCAATACCGGGAAAAATGAACAGAGTTGGAACAGCGACTGCCGATATTGTAAAGACAGAGGAAGTGGTGGGCGATAGTGCGTACGAAAGCGTGGAAAAGTGTGGAGTGGTGATAGAGGTAGTTAAAGTTTACGTCTTTGGTGGATGGGGAAGAGTATTGCACAAGTAAGGGAAGCACTGCGTAGTGTAAGTTCCATTGTTTTTAGTTCGTCGCAGTGTATCAGAACTGGATGTACGAGATCCACCGTGGACGTTGCCAAGTCGTTGCTGGCCTGTCCATGGTCGATCATGTCGATCAACAGCTGGGCGCCGTTGAAGCCGTTGATAGCTGTTGATGGGATGAATTTGAATATCTCACAGTGATCTGCGGTAGGTACTCAGTTCGATGTAGCTTACATTATAAAGACTGGAAGAGGTCGGCATCATTTTCCGATGTTGTGCTCATCGATTGGGGATCCGAATGTTTTTTTAGGCTGAGCGAGATGTTCACAGGGATGAAATGTAGATTAAAAGAAAGAAAGAAAAATTGGGGAAAGGTTCAGTTGCCAAAGTTGCCGACTTGTTGATTCCTGCCTGGGACCTTTTTTGAGAACCTTTATGGCTGCGGGCGGTGCGGGGAAGGGCCCTGGGGAATGGGCGGGTCCGAGACACGCCGCCGTTGTGACGCGCCTACCGCGCTAACGCAGCCCTGAATTGCCCTGAGCTCTAGTGCGGTTCCACTGCAGCATACTGTAAACGCTAACCTTTTCAGCCGCAACCGATTGAGTGCCGCTATGTCAGGGGACAGCGGGCACCTAAGAAGGTTAGGTGGTCAGAGCTCCACGTCATCTCATTCCCGCTCTCCAGTCCCAAATCCGGCATCGCCCAACTTCCATCCACCTCAAGCATCGCAATACACAACTATACTCGGGCCTAGACCGACGCAGCCATTACGCTACAGGTTCATACCCGTCATTGCAACCTCAAGCCTCCACGCACTGCGAGAGTTATCGATCCATCACCGACCCCCCAGCCGGCCACGCACGTATACACCACCCCGCCACTCGCAGCACCCTCTCGAACTTTGGACCAGTGCCAGCCAGAACACTCCAACATGTCAACAATAGCCACCCCGCGCGACACAGGGACGCCCCTCGCGCGGCGCGTCAACTCCTCTCAAGCCTTTAACAACTCCAATACAACACCCACCTCCTCCACGCGCCCAAGCCTTGACGTGCCTCGATCCGCCTCGAGCTCGCCCAACCCCTCCGCCGCCCCTGCCGCCGCCGCCGCCGGCAAACGCGCCAACCGCGCCGCCCTTCGCGAGTACTACAACCTCAAAAAATCCCAAGCGGCCTCTGGCACGGGGACCTCGACCCCGATCCTCGAAGTAACCTCCACCCCACCATCGCCCGACCCGTCCAACAATGGCTTTCAGCAATCCCTCTCCTCATTCGACTCCATCCCCGCCTCGCCCCTTCTTGACTCGCCCGACTTTTCGGCGCAACCGTACCTCTCAGAGCTCCTGCAGTCGTCGACGTTAGCCGAACTCCTCAAGACGTACGCCCGCATCCTGTCCGAGATCCGCGCTTTAGATGCCGAGAAGAAGGCGCTCGTGTACGATAACTACTCGAAGCTGATCAGCGCGACCGAAACCATACGCAAGATGCGCACCAGCATGTTTGATTCGAACGCGCTGACGGGGGATAAGCTGGACCCCATGGCCAGCACCCTGGATGCTGTGTTGGGAAAGGTGTATGAGCTTGCGAGTGGAATTAGAGGGGAGCTTAGGCAGCGGTTGTCGGAGAGTCGTGGTGGGAATGAAGATGCTGCCGTGAGACGCAGAGAAACGGAGCAAGAGCAGGATAGGGATCTGGATGGCATTGAGGACGAGGAGGAGCGAAGGAGAAGGAAAGAGAGGAGGGATAGGACGAGAGAGTTGGCGAGGGAAGTAGTAAAGGTTCCTGAACGGTTAAGGGCGTTGATGAAGGAAGGGAAGAAGGAGGAGGCGGCGAGGGAATGGGAGATGCCGAGGCGGTTGTTGGAGCGGTGGAAAGAGAAGGGGGTGGGAGGAGAGGATGTGGGGAGGCTGTTGGAGGAGGGCGATACGATAGTCAAAGGGGAGAAGGGCAGTACTCCTAGGACGTCAACACAGGGGGTTGAGGTGTAACAAATGACTGATGTTCTGTTCTGCTTTTTTCTTTCTTTTCTTAAGCTTGGGTCGATCCGGCGAGGCTTACGTTACTACGGGTCCTTGCATACCAGAACACCAGATGAAGAGAGTATTGGGCTCTCGGAAAACGGCAAAGATATATCAAGAGACGGAACATCACAGTGGCATGCTTGACTCAAGTGAACTGTACCATCGCTGTGCTGATCAAAATATCGGCATGCCTCAGTAAAACCCCGGACCAGAGCTCCAGGTCCCATTTCCAAACCACGTCCCAGCCCCCGAGTAATCCAGACTCCTACCATCCTCGCCCAAGAAAGCAAACCGGAAATACTCCGGCGTCATCACCACTCTTGAATCTCTCTCCCACCTAAACACCTGGTCCTCCAGCGCTTCCTCCGCAAAAAACCTTCTATGCCTCTCCACATCATTAACCATAACACTCAACCCCCACAATCTCTCCGCCTCTTCCCTTCCCCTTCCGTGTATCTGGGGCACCAACGCCTCTATCGTCTCATTAATCCCCTTCCACTTGAAAGCAATACTCCAGAGCTCCGGCGTTTCTACCAGAGCTTCACTAAGATAAACCAACGGCTGCCCATCCACCAAGGGCACCAAGCTTGACCCCAACAATCCATCATCCCCCCTCAACGCCTCCGCCGTCTGAATCACCGAGTCAAACCCCCACCGCGCAATCCCATTGATAAACAACCCCAAAAGTAACCCCTGGTACGCCAGCGCCGGACGCGTCTGGATACTCGTCAGCGGTAGTAGTAGTAGGGCAAGCACGTAGTGATGGATTCGCAGTTCTAGCGTTCCTAACCCCGTCACGGAAATTACCGCGCCGACAGCGATGCCGGCCAGCAACACGCCGTAGAGGGCGAGGTAGGGAAGAACCCTGCCCTCAAGCCAGAAAGAGTAGGCCTGGTAGGCGATGGTCACCCCTAAAACGGCCACAATCGCGACGAGAGCTACCACCGCGCCCGGTTGGTGGGAAAGGTCGTGCGCGCTCAGACGGGAGAGGGGAATCCAGGACTCGAGGGTGAAGTTGGAAAGGGCGCCTATCCATAGGCTGCCGAGCCAGAGGACTGTTTTTTCGAGGTTGGCCGAAGGGGGGATAGCGCGGAGGGTTGTGGAGCGCGAACAGGTCCAAAACAAAACGGCCGAGGTGAAGGTTGCGGGAAGCAAGCGCTCGAATAAGATTGATATTAGTTGGGGGAGGATGGTGTTGGAGGGGCCGGAGACATTGGGCGGGTCGGAGATGAGGCCGACGTGGGCGAAGACGGCGATGAAGCTGGTGAACCAGAGGGTTGTGGCGGAGGTGGTTAGGAGGGATACCAGAAAGGTGAGGAGGATGGTTGGGGCTAGGGAGCGGGCTGTTTTCATTTCCATTTGAGGACACTTTCCCGGGCTAGTTAAGGCCGGATGGATGGTGAAGCCCATGGGAAAGTACGAGTCGAATGCTAGACTCGAGATGCCTTCGCCTCCTTCTCCGCCGAAGAAGGAGTAGTATTCTCCTACTAGCTTGACCACGCCGCACCCGCCTTTCGAATCGGAGATGACACCGGCGTGCATCGCTGCTTGGCAAATGAAGGAGTCACCTCTGTATACTCTCGTCTCCGTCCCCGTCTCCGTCGTCTCCGTGCCGGCAGCAGTTACACCACCATCAGCAGAACCATCTCCATAATCCCCGCCACCGATTACCCAAGGCTTATAAACCACCTCCTGCCCCCCAACCCACCTCGGATTCAGCACCTGAACCTGTCTGCAATCCGCCGGGCAACGAAACGCAAAGCTGACGTTCCCAAAGGGCTTGCACCGCTCGCCGTCGACGCCGCACTCGTTTCCTGGTCCCCAAAAGGTTGAGACGCAGTCTAGGTGTCTGACTACCTCTCCTTCCCCCTCTCCGTCCGAGTAGAGGAGAGTACCCTTGGACTGAACCAGGGAAACAGAAAGAATGGTGAGCCAAAGGAGTAGACCAATAGATAACAGAGCGGCGCGCTGCCATGGATGGGAAAGGAGGCGTTCTAGTGTAAGGCGGGGAAGGGATTGGATTGACGGAAGCAGGAAAGGGGTGAGGGTTTGCCGGTGGGGATGGGAGGAGCCAGAGAGGATGGTGAAGAGGCGGTAGATTGGGGAGAGTCGGGATTTGGAATTAGATCTTGAGTGTTTGGTCGTCACGAAAGGTGGCGACGATGTGTCGGTGTTGTCGTCGAGTTCGAATTGCTCAATGTAGTCTTCTGTGGATAGCAGTTGGGCTTCTTCATCTTCTGATGGTTGGTGGTCGTCGTTGGCTTGGGTCCGGGAGGAACTTGAGACAGGTAGGTGGGGATGATAGTCGTCATCGTCGTCTTTTTGTTGTACGCCGCTGTACTGGGCCTGGTGTGGGTGGTTCAGACCCATGTTGTACTCATATCAACGATGCTGTTCAAAGGCGTTCGTAAAGGCTAGGTGTTGAATAACGGGTTCTGACCGCGTGTCTGCAGTTTCACGGTATTCTGAGGAAAGACGTTCTCCACAATGTGATTAGTGAGTCGAAGTGACTGCGTGAAATAAGGACAAAATGTACAAATGAGATGAATATAACCGGAATCCTCGGAAACGAACGCAGAGATTGATGAGAAAAAGGTCATATCACAAGCACATTTTAAAAAAGTATAATGTGATTGCAACGCAGAAAATGTAAGACGGAGAAAAGAGATGGAGAGAGTCGAAGTTCGATTCAGCTGGGCTGAAAGATCAGTGACCCCAGTTCGCCCAATGGCATGGCCGCTGGCTTCCAAGGCGAGCAAGGGTAGCATGGCTTAGAACGGGAATGGGCAAGATTTGCCATACCACCTCAGGACTTGGACCCTTTGCGGTCATATCTCTGATACTATATCGACTTGAACACTGTCTTGCCCACTTGGACGTTGATCCTATCACAGCATCTTCATCCATACACAACCCATTCCCAACGGCTTCGGTTGCATTATACAAATTTGGTATTGAGTCGTGATATCAAATGTGGGATATAATTACAGGTACATGTCATACATCAGCTGCGGGTCCAAAAAGCCGTCCCGCAGCTTCAAATCCTCTCGCCTTTTCCTTGTTGGGTTGTCCGTTCCTCGTGACAGCATCTCATCTCTCCCCATTTATTGGGCATCGACGAAGCCCTTGAGGTTGTTGAGCCACCTGAGGTACTCCTTCTGCTCCTTCATGTCAAGGTAGTCGGGAACGAAGAGGGCAAGGGCCTGGTTGATGCCACGGTCCTCGAGGTAGCGCTCCATGAGGACCTGGAGATCATCGTCGAGGGTACCGAAGGGAGGGCCAGGGTAAACAGCCTGGGCAGCGTGCTGGGTCTCGGCACTGTCACCGTGAGCGAGCTTGGCGTCGTGGTAGTAGAACATGTTGTCGACAACAATGGAGCCGTCCTGGGCAACGGCGTCGATGTTGAGGGCACCCTTGCTGGGCTTCTCAATGACGATGTTGAGACGGACGGGAGCGCCGCCGTCCTCACCCATGTCCTCCTCGTTCTGGGCACCCTCCTCGTCACCGAGAGCCGTGTCCTCGTCGAACATGCCAGGCTCGTAGTTCTGGAGGTCGGCGATGGAAAAGGAGATGGTGATCCTGGCGTACATTGGTCAGCGCATGGTTCTTGATCGACGTCATGTTCGGGCTTCAACTTACTGCTCGTTGCCAAAGGTGCGCTTCAGAACAACGTCCTCCTTGCCGGGGGTATCGACAAGCTCAAAGGGGCCGTTCTCAAGGAAATCCTTGACGGTGGCGGGAACGGGCTCGTTGGAGGCAATGTCCTGCTCATAGCCAATCTCGGTGGAGAGCTTCTCGGAGAGCTCAGAGTCGATCTCGGTGGCGGCAGCGCGGAAGACGGTAGTAGAGAAAGCCTTCTGGGGGAGCTGGGTCCTGAGAACGTTGCTGGTAGCGCGGACGGTGGCGCGGCCGAGGGTGATGGGAGAAGCAGAGACGGCGCGGAGAGCACGGGGCGCAGCGGTGCGCGCGACAGCACGAAGAGACATCATCTTTGGCGGATTTGGTGGGGGGATTTGTTGACTGTGAATTGGATGTTTGGGTCCGATCGTGTTGTTGCGCGTTGGGACAGAGGGATGTTGTCGAGGACGGAAGCTGGGGTAAGTGAGTGGACGAAGACTGGAGCGAGACGAAAAGATGGGTAACGTGAGTGATGGAGAAATTCGATGACAATCCACGATGGCTTGATGGATCCGCTCGCTGAAAGCTCCACGAACCTGTGCCGAGAGCAGGTAGTCTCCCAGAAATCTTCAAAAGCTCTGCAGTCGCTGGCGCAAAAAAATCCGAGCACAGACCATCCAATGGGACCCCGGCTGCGTCGATAAGAGGTAAGAACCGACCCCATCGATAAAGCGTAGCACCAGCCGATAAGCTCCCTCCTAGCGGAAGTTCCCCCACAATGACGCTTTGGACCCACTAAAACTTTGTCAGTCTTGACTGTTAAGGTTGCTCTGCTTCCCGCGACCGACGGGCGACCTCCAGCTCTTCTGCTCTCACATCGCGTCCAGAGGATAATAGCTGTTAATCAATAGCTTATTTTAGTTAGGTACTTCTATTCGGAACCGATGGTCTGCCTTTCACGACTCGCTTCCTCAACGCCATGCCACTTAACACCTTTATAAGTTCTAGCCATTCTACCCACAAGCAAAGGGTCCAGCATTCTCCTGTTCCAGGGTCCAGATCGGCTCGACTGGATCCACACTTGCAACCTAACATGGCTGCCAGGAACCGAGTGCCTTGAATGCCTCGGATCGATACGACGCACGACATGGCCAATGCCAGCGATACACACACGAAGAATCTGACCTATATGAAGCGCCCATCATACCTCCCCAAGTCTGCCCTCATCTTCCCCATCCTCCTCAACCTCCTTTCCAGATCCTGTTGTGGTCCCTGTTGCTGTTGCTCTGATACCGGTAATGCTGCCGGTCCAGGCCCGTACTCTCTCCCTTGTCCTTGTAATCCTGATACCGAGATCCGTCTCTGCTGCTGCTGCTGCTGCTGCTGCCCCCTGTCATAAACACCACCACTGCCGCCACCACCCCCTCCAACTCCATGGTGATAGTTGGTATTGTATCCATACATGGAGTTCACACCTTGCGGTCCAATGGGTACACTAACACTAACGCTGCTCCCCCTCCTCCTTGGTCCTCCGCCTGTGCTGCCACTCGAGGTGCTACTCCCACTGCCACTACTGCTTCGAGACCGGGATGCCGGGAGGGTTGCTTCGTCCTGGCATTGCCAGCACTTGTACCCCGTCTGATCTCGTTGGCCGGAAACCCCAGATAGGCAGGAGCCAAAGATGCCGCTGCCGCTGTTCTTGGCTACGGAACAGAGTTGTTCTGAAATGAGGACGGTGTCCTCGCTGCTGCACCGGCGGCACACGCGGATGTGGGTCTTGTAGGTGCACATTTGCTTCGTCTCTGGTCTTTTGGTGCCGTAGTGTATGCCCGGTCAAGCCAACCAGAATGATGGTCGAGAAGATGTGTGGGATTGCGGATACTAATCAACGGTTAGATGAAAGATGGGAGACAGGTATGACTGGGGAAAAGCTGGTACTCACGTTGAGATTGTTAACAACAAGCTTGTAGTCTAACTTGGAAGCCCAAGTGGAATGATTCTTGCTCGTTTTTCGAACCAACCTACACACATATACTGGTCCGAAACCCGTCCTTGGTACAACTGACACCCGAAAGCACAGTTGGCTGAGACAAAACCAGCGTCTAATTCTCTCCAGTGCAACCGGTGTGTTTAATGCAAGTGCCTCGCAGATAGGTGATATAGGTCATACACAACACCAACCAAAGTGTATAGAAGCATGGAAAATGGAAATGGGAAATAATGAAGAATGATTTAGTCTGTTTCAGACTCCAAGGTTTGTCCATAAAGGGTTGTCAGAGAAATAGGGGACTGACGTACTACTTATCATTTTGGGGGGAACTGCCTGGAGTTTGCCTGCGTCGGTTGTGGCTTGTCAGTTACTCCCAACGAACTCGGAGGAGAACTGCACTGCACTGGACTCGACTCAAAGTCGGAACATGGCATGGATGGATAGATGGATGCAATGGATAAACTCGACGTCAGTCCAGTCCAGGGTTTGGTTCCCGTGTGTGTGTCTCGCGCGTGTCGTTCGTCCGTCCATCCGTCCTGTCGTGCCCATTGTGACTTGTGCATGGCCTTTGGGTTGGTAGGTAGCTATGCAGTGCAGCTCCGGCAAGCCGTATATCCTGAGTTTCACGTTTGGCAAGCAAGTTAAATGGTTCTCCAATCGCATGACAATTTCTTCATCATGAGAGGAGCGAAAGGCTTTGGGAAGGGGGAATGGATATCAGCATGTGGCATCGTGTCAAAGTGGCTGTATGGCGCAGACGGGAAAGGTTCTATAGGGTCTGGATTGAACATCAGTCGTGAGCGTCTAACATTGGATAGAACCGCAGAACCTTTTGGGTCTTGTGTAACCCTCAGCTTCGATGAATCCCACAGCTTCCAAGGCCATGGATGTTTGCTGGTACACAGAGACTCGAAAGCATCAACCTAATCTTCCCTTGCCAAAAAAAAAAAAAAAAAAAAAAAAAAAAAAAAAAAAAAAAAAGTCTTGTCTATTTACCGACCAGAGAAAAAAAGAGAAAAGGAAAAACACCAAGAAACCAAAACGAACGCTCAGTCACACAATCAAGTATGCGTCCCCGACTATTTTGTACCAGTGTCCACTGCACATGTCTGTCTCATGCAGCAAGCCTCGAACTGCCCCGAGCAAAAATACTCTCCAGATTTCAGCGTGTCAATCCTTCGTTACGTTGCCTGACATTCTTCACTCAGTCGCGCTTACGAAAAGGGTTCAGGTTACACACAGGAGGATCGGGCCGGGGGAAGGAGACCTCATAAGGAAGAAATCCCTGCCTACCTGCCGTTTTCTCGGCAGGGCAAGACAGCTGTGAAAAACATGACATGGTACGGCATGACCATAGCATGGCAGAGTAGGGTAGGGTAGGGCAGAGTACATGTACTCGTCGTTCGTTCGTTCGAACAAAGTTCCAAATATCTCAACTTATACAAAACCGCCATCTGTTTTGGGAGCGGGTTGCAGAAGTGTAGGCCTGGTACTTTCATTAGAGCTCTGCTACCTCTTCTTCCCCCCTCATCTAATTTATCTACGCGGTATTTCCATCGACTGGCTCGATCTTCCCGTTCCTTGTGGACTACTACATGTGCAGGTAGCTAGCCGGGGAATGGAAGAATAAGACTGAGGGATGAGGCGAGGAAAAGGAGGGGAAGCACGAACCCCAAGCGCGCAGGTAGCCCGAACCGCCAAGGTACACCAATAGCTAGCTAGGTGAATCAAGTTCATGGGAAGGTGAATGGACAAAAGTTGCGTTAGGTTGTATGTCTCCATATAGATAGAAAGAAGAGGGGGGACAAGATGAGGGGAAATGTCAACGACAGATTCGGGTAGTGGTGACAAAAGATGGACGGATAGATGGAGGGACGACTAACTGGTCGGCAAAGGGAAAACAGCACGCACACATGAGGTGGGTTCTCTAGTACGTTGACAGGTAGATTGACCAGAAAACAAACAAACAAGACACCCAAAATCTTTTCATCTTGGAAGTAAACTTGAAACCACAGCCAAGTACCAAATCTCGTCCCTCATTGCCATCATATCCCTCCCTAAAGGAAAGCAGAACACCAAAGCCGCTCCGAGTCCAGCAAATTTCCCAGGAGCACCCTAGCCAGAACTCTCCGAACTCCGGAGAGACCGGCCCCGAACCCGGTCCATGGCAACTTGCAGGACATATGGAATACCGGTAAAGCCAGGGGGCAGCGAAGGACAGCCAAAGGACAGTCAAGGAGGGGGGAAAAGGCCAAACCGCCCACGGCTACCTGCTTTTCAGGTGCATACCGGTGAGTCAGACTATTTCCGCCCGCAACAACTTGGGTGTGGAGGGGGGGAGTTGAGGAATCAGGGGAAAATAGGGTCCACCTTGGCGTTTTCGGCTGCGTTATGCCCACGAGGAGCACGTAAGTTGTACAACATCAACTGGCAGCTTCTCCCGAGCGAAGGTGTTGAATGAAGAAGCATTAGAACAACTCGGGTTGCTGTCGATCACCTTGCATATGATTAAAAATAAAATCCGGGATAAGGAGGCAAGTAATCGTCGAATCGGGCGTTGCCGTTGTGGGAGTGTAAAACATCTTGTGTAAAGTGGGCTTTTTTTGTCCTTCTTTCTATATGCAGGACTCATGACGGGTTCCAGAAGCAATGCATCTCTTCAATTTCCACACTTCTACCTCTTCTTTCTTTTTGTTACCGGTATGTCTCTCACACGTTGGTCTTATGGTAGGAGACCTGCAGCCCTGTAAGCAAGTCTTTCCAAGGCACAGCCGTCGGCTGCTCTGAAACATGTTTTCTTTTCTCTCTCCCGGTTTCCATGAACCCTCTTCTCTATCCCTAACTGGTGAACTGTCCGAGCTGACGGGGAACCTGAACTGGCCGGCTGGGACAGGCTGTCGGTAACTGGACCCAGCCATGAAATGGCGTCCTTAACACGTTGCCCTCATCCCACCCACCTCCTTCTCGAATCTTCTCCCTTCAGCCCTCTTTCATTCGGTTCGGGCCCGAGTGCGGTTTGGTGCCTGGTGTCTGGTGCTTGGACGAGGTGGGACTGTGATTTGTATGCACAGCGATAATCGAACCCGGGGGTCACGGCAGCAGCCGCTTTTGTTCAAGGTGTAGTAAGCAAGCAAGGTACGGGTTGCGGGCCAGGGTCAGGTACGAAGGATAAAGTGGCTTGTGACAGATTGATTGATGAGGCTCGTGGGAGGGATGAATAAATGTTTGTCTTTCCCGCCTTTCAGTATCATTAGTGGACACGGCCAAAACTTAAGGCTGCAGGTTGGCGGTTTGGCAAAGGTAAAACGCTGTCTTATTTTGCAGCACGACGCATGGCATCTAACCGAGTGACGAGCAACGGAGGAGACGGGACGAGTAGCCGGCTGGCGTTCAACGGGGACTGGGACTGGAACTGAAGGGCTGGAAAGGGGTATCATTAAGGTTTGTTGAGGCCCAGCTGCCTCGCTGATCCTGGATATCTCCGTCTTTAGGTCGGAAAAAAAGAAGGGGCGATGTGCTCTCAGTTGGTCTGTGGAGGGAAGCTGGCAGGCGCGGATCTTCCTGAGGACTGGATTTTGACCCATGTGAGGTTGGTGAGGAAGGCCCAGTTGCCATCCCACCGATCTAGCATCTCGGTGGTCTTTTCATTGGTAAGGTCGGGAAGGTCTGTAAACTGGTCAGCGACAAGCTATGCCACAAAGAGACACAATGGGGAAAGGACTGACAGAAACCATCACGCTCTTCCTTGTGAAGCGCCTCCATCTTCATCTTCAAAAGATCCTCCTTGGCGCTGGGCGGCCTGCCCTGACGACGAGCCTTTTTGATTTCGTGATATTCCTCATCATGCTGATGGCAGAATCTGGGTGGATGGTTAGAGATGGTCCCACCAATATTGGCACAGTCGCAGTCCACACTTACTCAGCAATCTTCTTTTGGATGGCGGAGAGCTCGAGCGGCTTGTTCTCATTTTCACGAGTAGCCTCTTGGAAGAAGGCGATACGGGTGATCAGAGGCTGGTCCCTCTTGCGCCTGGCCTCGGACATCTTTTCGAGACGATCATCGCGAACCTGGGCCTTGTGAAGACGGCGGGAATCACGACTCTTGGCGTGGAGGGCTTCAATGGCACCGCCTCTCTTCTTCGCAATGGCCTTGCGGGCTTTTTCGAGAGTCTTGGGCATGGTGAAGATCAGTAATCTTGGGAGATGAATTAGATGATGGTTGTACTTGATGTGTTGGTGAAGACGAAGGTACGTATTTCAACAGGTGAATTGCACGTATGGGACTTGCTCTTTGGCGGTTGGGATGGAATTTTTCGATAAGCGGCCAGCGAACTGGGGACAGTGGGGTACTAAGACTTGGCCTACCGATAAGGCTTACTTGTACAGGTACCTAACGTTAGACGCTGTCAGGGCTGTCAACTGTTTAAGTGGTTGCAGCTCCCGTCGGATGCCCCTGGGGTTTGATTGGAGAATAGCACTGCGATCCATGTCTTGGCGACGAGCTCTGTGGTCGAGCTGTTAGTTCAACTAGGACCTCCAGTAGGTTGGAGCTACCATTATAGTGTAACGAACTTACTTGGAGGTACCTCTACATACACGCGCAGTAGGAACCGTCTCTCTGATCTGGCAGGTGACATGTTTACACGGTGAAATACCCTGTTGAGATGCAGGTCTCGTCAAATGGAGTGTACCTAGGATTGTTACCATTCACACAGTCAAATTCCAGATTTTTGAGTGATCAGAAGCACATGGGATACCATCAAGGCATTACTGTAGAGTGAGGGTGAATCCCTCCCTAGGTGGACGACGCCTCCCCACCTCATTGTTTTGTGCACAAACAGAGCCATTGCTTGGATGCCCCTGAATGCCCCGCATGGATCGGATGGATCAGCGATTGACAGGCATGTCGCCTGGCACAGTCTGGTCGCGGGGGCAACGACGCGGTACGCGCTTCCCTTCCATTTTCTGGAAACCTGCCACCCCAGGCGATTTTGGGTCGTTTTACGGGGGCGGGAAGGCGTGGATCGGCTCCATTCTCCCATTAGGTTCTTTGCACTGGCAACTGGAACCTTGGGTTTTTGGGGTCTGGTGGACTGCGGCAAAAACTGCCTGCCCGGCCATTTCACCACCAATTTTTGCAGTGGCCTGCCCTTCACCGGCCCTAAGTAGAGGTAGAGGTCGGGTATCGCCTACCGAGACGGGACCGCAGCAGCCCTTGTCAGTTGTCAGGCAGGCAGGTCGTCCCCCGCCCGAGATTTCCAGTGGCTTCACACTTCCCTTGAGGGCAACTTCACCTTTCCTCTTCCGTGGTGTGCAGCAACCCCCTCGAGCTCACCTTCCTCCCTCGCCTCATAGGAAACGAGGTCGTTGCATTTCCGTCCTCCAAACTCGCCAATCCTCCAGTGGCTTGGTGAGAATTGCAGGTCTTTCAACCATTCAATCATAGAGGTGGTATCGGGACGACGTCAGGGCATCGCTCGCTTGGGCTGTCCATTACTCTCACTCCACAACAAAACAAAACAAAACAAAACAAAAACATCGACAAAACAGTGGGTTGGCACATCGTTTCGTTGCAACCCGCATCAACGCACAGCATACTACCGCAGTACGGATTTATACACGCATCCTCGACTGCAGGAACCACGCCAATTCATGCATACATAGCCTCCGCATCATCACCCATTTTATTCGGCACCCGATATCTCACCGCAGTTGCCACCACTCGACAGGGAACACAAGTTCCATGGCCTCGTCAGTCGCGTGAGCCTTTGTTCAACTTGTCGGTTGCTGCAACCTACCGCGCTTGTCAGGCGCCTGTGGCGCGTTTTCCGTCACTGGAGCAAAGATGGGCATCAACGGTCTTCTCCCCTTGCTAAAATCCATTCACCGCCCTGCCGAACTCAGGAAGTACGCGGGCGAAACTCTGGGCATCGACGGCTATGGATGGCTTCATCGAGGTGCTATCGCTTGCGCCATTGACTTGGCTCAAGGCAAGCCAACCCGCAAGTAGGTTCCAACCGAGGCTACCATGGACTGTCTGACCCCAAGGCTAATTGTAACACCGTTAAAAAAAAAGATATGTTGACTATGCGATGCACCGCGTCAAAATGTTCAAGCATTTTGGGGTGACGCCCTATGTTGTCTTTGACGGCGACTACCTTCCAAGCAAGGCCAAGACGGAATTGGATCGCGAGAGCAGACGAGAGACGAGCAGGAAGACGGGCCTAGAACTCCTCAAGGCTGGCAAACCATCACAAGCCCACATCGAACTCCAAAAGGCCATCGACATCACACCAGAAATGGCCCGCCATCTGATTGACGAGCTGAAAAAGGCCAATGTTCCATATGTCGTCGCGCCGTACGAAGCAGATGCACAGTTGATCTACCTCGAGCGTCGGGGCATCATCAGCGGTATTGTCTCGGAGGATTCTGATCTGTTGGTTTTTGGAGCCAAGCGCCTCTTGACCAAGATGGATCAGTACGGACAATGTATCGAAATCAACCGCAGCCAGTTTTGTGCCGTCCGTGAGATCTCCTTGACGGGATGGTCGGATGCCGAGTTCCGCCAGATGGCCATCTTCAGCGGCTGCGACTACCTCGACAGCCTTCCCAGCATGGGTCTCAGGACAGCATACCGCATGATTCGAAAGCTCAAGACGCCTGAGCGCATTGTCAAGAAGCTCCAGTTCGACGGCAAAATCCGGGTTCCCGACGACTATCTCGCACGGTTCAAGCAGGCTGAACTGACTTTCATCTACCAACGCGTGTTTTGCCCAGAGAAGCAAGCGGTGGTGTGCTTGACAGAACCCGACGAGTCGATTAACGTTGACGATATGCCGTACATTGGCGCACCCATAGATGCCAAGCTGGCTCGCGCCATCGCTGTTGGCGATGTCAACCCGATCACCAAGGAGCCAATCATTGTCACAGCAACCTCTCCCAGCAAGAGAAGGATCAGCCAGGTCTTCACTTCCGCTTTCGGCGAAGGCAAGAAAATGGGAAAGCCTATCGACCAATATTTCAAGGACCGCCGCATTCCTCTCGGAGAGATGGACCCCAATTGTTTTAACGTTGAGCCTGATAATGGTGAACAGGAGGCAACCGCCGAACCTCGCCCTATCGTGTTTCCATTGCCGAGGCCTTACGTGGAGGATGTGGGAACATCGGCAGCCCCTGCTCGGCGCTACACGGCTCAAAACAGCCGGCGCAAGAGTGAGCCCATTTCGAAGCTTCTGGCCTCATTTGACGACACATCCAGCATCACATCGCGACGACAGACAACAGGAGCAGCATTCGAGGTATTCACGGACACTGACCCTGCGATCTCCACAAGACCGCCAAAGAAAGCGCGACTGTGTGAAGACGCAGTGTCGGAAGATGCCGTCACTGCTAACCCCGAAAAGAGTAAGTTCTTCCCTCAGACCAAGGCGAAGAAGGCGGCAGCCAGGAAGTCGGAGTCTTTCATCATGTCGGATGACTCTATCGAGGAAGCTTTTCGGAGCGTTCCGGATGCTGTATGGAGTTCGTCAAAGGCTCGTCGTCGGAGCGGAAAGGTTCAGTTTGTCGAGGAGTCACCGTCCTCTGAACCAGTGTCTCAGGAGAAGGAACAGGAAGATTTGGAAGAGCCATCTCTTCCTGTGATGCCAAGGAGTACCACCATTGATGCCAGCAGCGATGCCGAGGACGAAGTGGAAGTTCCTGGCTCATCATCGCAAGAGGCCATCACCAAGAAAAGTGTGAAATCCCAGACGCCGCTGGGCCCTCGGCTCCGGCAATTCTCGTATCAACCAGGTAAACCCGGTGCTCGCCTTGTCAATGGTCTGCCTACACCTTCCTCAACCCAAGAGAGATCTGCTGCGGTGCGTAGATCATCGTTGAATCCAAGCTCGCCCATGTTGACTCCGCTGCAACGCATGGGAGCCCGGGCACTGAAGCAAGTTACACCCCGCGCCACGCCTCCTAGCAGCGCCCGCGCACGTAAATCAAGCAAGCCGAGCGAAGCTCTCGGCTCCGTCCAGGTGGATCCCGCCACCATTCCGTTGCCGTTGGCCGACTTTGCTGAAGTTAGAGCCCTGAACATGTCGCTCCAGGGGAGCGAGGATCAGATCATTCCTGAAAGTGATGGAGAAACCGAATTGGGCACGACAGCCACTCGTCCGCGACTCAACTTAGCGCAGTACCTGTATTCGTGAGCCCCCAATTTGTGCTCTCGGGAGTGTATTAGGAGAAGCCAGATATGTGGTGTGCATAGCACTCGGCGTACCGGTAAGGAAGAAACCCCGCCTGGAAAATGGGTGGGCTTGAATTGCACTATGGTCTGTTGTAAGGAAACGTGGAAAGATAATGGGCCAGGAGTTTTGGCAGGCAAAGAAGGGAATCATGGAAAGAGCAGGTTGAAGTTCATGAGGAGAACTTCCATCACCTGTTATGCGATAACATTGCCCCGATGGGCCATTCATTCATTGATGGCCTTTGTCAAGAAGGAAGCTATATCACTTTAGTAGGAAATAAACAAACAATGGTAACCATGATGAAGGAACGCTGTTGCACCTGTCAAGACTCTGTCAGGAGACATGTCACCATCAGATCCAAACATGAATTCTATAGGTAGAGGTACCTATATAGAGGTAGGTAGACGGGAGCGTGCTAGGAATGGCAAGTATCCCTCTAACCGCGATAAGATCGATGAGAGGTGCCAGGGCAGTTCACCGCCTTTGGCAGAATGCGAGAACCCCCAAGCGTGAAAGTGTGGGGCAAGGTGCTGGGGGGCTCCACACTGCTGGGAACAATCCACTAAAATTTCACTGTAATCCACTGGCGAACAAAAATTCATCGAGACGGGAAACAGTCGCTCGACCACAGCCGACCCGCCCTCCACTGTCTCAATTTTTCCATCTGGGTTTCGTTTCGATACCTCGACATACTACCTCGACCATTATTCCGCCCGCTCGTCATCACTCACAACCCCATTACAGCGAAATCCCGGGTCCGACTTTTTTGTCGCCTCAATCACCTAGGTCTCTCTATTTTAGCGACTGGCAATAAACCAGGTCGACTCGTACAAGCGAAAACCAGCGTGTGCAAAGATGGCGGATACCGATTTGCAGGTAAGCAGACCGGCGCTGGAATGCACACCACCGATACGGTGATACCCATGGCTGGTAGTTGTGGCCAAAGTGTGATGGCTAGAGCTCCGACGCTGACCATGCCGTCTTGCGATTGCGAACAGGAGCGCCTGCGTTCTCACGCCCAGGCCTTTGACGGTCTACTGTCGCTGATCCCAGCCAAGATGTACTATGGCGAGGACAATAGTGTACGTTACCCCCCCGTTGACTTGGCTATTCATCATAAACTCAACCATTGATGTTGGTGTCAAAATGCCTTCGATCGCGTCGCTGATCCCAAGTAACCCCGCCAACAGGATCAGTGGAAGAAGAAGAAGCAAACCAAGGAGCAGGCAAAAGCTGCTAAGAGGGGGAAGCTCGACCCCGACAGTGAACTCAACCGCAACGCCAAGGAGGTCATGGAGGAGCGCGCCCGCAACAAGCGCAAGCTCCAGGAAATGGAGGAGAGCAGCACTGAAGACAGCGACGTCGACGTCGAAATCCCTGGTGTTGAGAAGGAAAAGCCCCTCGAAGGACTGAAGAAGAGGGTTGTCAAGGACGACGCCGAGACAGAAGAGTCTGCGCCTAAAAAGCAGAAGCTTTCCGAGGAGGAGGAGGAGGAGGAGGAGGCTGTCCCCGCTGAGAAGCCCTTGAGCAAGAAGGAGCAAGAAAAGGAGGCCAAGCGTCTCGCAAAGCTGGCCAAGCAGGAGAAGAAGAAGGCCAAGCTCGAGGCAAAACTGGGCAAGGGTAGAAAGACGGAAAAGAAGGACGACACCGCCGAAGAAGCCAAGCCTTCCACCGAAGCTAACGAGGACGACGAGAACGACGATATGGCTCCCATTGATGTGTCTGGTCTCGTAACAAAGGAGGATGAGGGCGAGTCCCAGGAATCCGCTCAATCCTCTGTTTTCGATGGTCGCGACAAGGCCGGTTCCGCCGAGCCCGCCAGCGCCAACACCTCGATCTCTTCCGCCGTTCCCCCATCGGATAAGCCCAAGTTCAAGCTTCCCGCCGATACCACGGTTCTCCGCGAGCGTCTCGCCGCCAAGATTGAGCAACTCCGTGCCGCTCGCAAGGTTGAGAAGGATGACGAGGGTAAGCCCATTCGCACTAGGCAGGAACTCATCGAGATGCGCCGCGAGAAGGAGGCCAAGCGCAAGGCCCACAAGCGCGAGCAGAGACAGAAGCAGAAGGAGGAGGAGGATCGGAAGCGGTCAGAGGCTATTGCCAGCTCGCGCAACTCTCCCCTAAGCATGCTCAGCCCCAAGGACGATGTTGAAACCAACTTTGCTTTCGGACGTCTCGCCTTCTCCGATGGTGTTCAGCTTTCTCGTGACGCCGCCTTTGTCAAGTCCGACGGAACCAAGAAGAAGGGCCCCACGGACGCCAAGTCCAAGCTTGCCAAGCTTGAGGCCCAGAAGAAGCGCCTCGAGGCCTTGCCTGAAGATAAGCGCAAGGAAGTCCTTGAGAAGGAGACGTGGCTCGCTGCCCGTAAGCGTGCCGAGGGCGAGAAGGTTCACGACGACGAGCACCTGCTCAAGAAGGCTGTCAAGCGCAAGGAGAAGGCAAAGAGCAAGAGCGCCAATGAGTGGAGAGAGCGCAAGGAGGGCGTCGCCAAGGCCCAGTACGATAGGTCAAAGAAGCGCGAGGAGAACATCAAGAAGAAGCAGGACGAGAAGAAGGCCCGCAAGATGGGCATCAAGGTCAAGAGCGGCAAGGGCGGCAAGGGTGGAGGAAAAGGTGCTTCCAAGGGTAAGAGCAGGCCTGGATTCGAGGGCGGATTCGGAGGTAAGAAGAAATAAGCGTCGGATAAGGTGTTCAGCAAGGGGTGTTTTGTCTTTTTGGAGAGAGATGTTGATACCACTGCTGCTGCATAGCGGCAGATGCTCGGGAGGCTGGCATATCCTTTTCCCATTCTTCTGCCTTGTCGCTACGTACATATTTCTTGGGAGGGGGTAACAGGTGGTGTTTTTGGCGTTTGTTTTTTTTTCCCTTCATGGTTCCTTTTTTTTTTTTTTTTTTTTTTTTTTTTTTTTTTTGCACGGTCGGAATGGAAAAAGAGATTATATCACCCATACATATCACAACTGGACCAGATCACAACAAGCGGTTAACATGGCACGAGGCTGGGCAAGCCTTGTCTTTTGTTCTTTTATACTTAGCTAGCTTTTAGTAGTGGTGGCGAAGGGAGGAGGTAGGGGCTGGAAGTCCCCCTTCTTCTTCAGCGAGGCAGCATCTTCATGGAGTTAAAAAGTGATTATCAGCTCACCGAGTCTTTTTTTATTTTATTATGTCCGGTGACCTGAATTGGTGATGTGAGACGCATAGCTTCCCTTTCGTGCTTGACAAAACCACGATCTTTCAAGAACCATCATCTGATACTGAGGCGCTCCCCGGTGTAGGCGTTATATTTCAACTGCGAAATGAGGTGCTGTTAGTGCTGGGTGGTCGGTTCCTACTGCATGCGCAATTAAAGCACTAACACGGCGCCTGGAAGCTGACATGATTAGATATGCTACACGATTTTATCATGATCGGAGCAACCCGTGTTCCGTTCCACAAGGGAAGCTTGGAAGGGGTTAATGACTTCATCCCCAGGTAGCATTGAACAAAGAGCAGCCGTTTCAAAACGTGGCCATTCAGAATATACAGGAAAAACATAAGTTATCTCCAACTGCATGGAGTTGTTTGACGGTTTGATAGAACCCCTTTGCGCCGCAGGTGAGCTGGATCCTGAGATTGGCTCCTGAACCGATTAGACTCCGCCACGCGGACCAGGACGGGATCCCACCTCTGGACTTTCTCTTTTGTTGACCGCTGCACAACACAGCGTTCACTGCTGCGCGCTGCCTGTGCCAACCAAAAGAGGGACCCATCGAGCACCAACCCGTTACCTAGTACATACCCGAGTCCACCACTCAGCCTCAACCAACCTAACCATCCCTCCCCCTCGTCGGTCCTGCTAGAGGTAGCCAAGAGAACACCAACAGACTAGCGAAACGACAAAACACTCGCATCATCAAGAGCCGCGCCGAAGAGCGGCTTCCCACCCCCAGACGACGACAAACGGAGGACGGACCTCCACGTTCGGGACAATTGATCGACCAGGCTACTCCCTCTACTAGTCGGCCTTACCCTTTCCTCTGAAACACAGGCTACACCCAGGCCTACCGAATCCCCAATTCGCAATCCTAATCCCCACGTGTTACCGCGAAACCGAAATTATTTCAATTCCCCCTGTCCGCGAAAACACGGGGAAATAATACCAGTGCACATACGCCCATACTTGGCCGACCACATTCGCTTCGTGCCGCCCAATCATCACATCAGAAACAGTCCCCGATAAAAAAAAGAAGAGGAAGAAGAAAATGGCATCAACATCAGGCTTAACCCGGCGCAGGGGCGCGGGAGGAGGCAGCAGCGACGTCGGCGGCGGCGGCGGCGGCGGCGGCGGCGGCACTTCCGACACGAGGGACGTTGGGCCCGACACGAGCTACGAGACGGGCGAGAACGGACACAGGATTGCCTTCGACCCCCGCGACCTGAGCGAGAGCGCAGAGAGGAGCAAGCAACCCAAGCTAACGCTGATGGAGGAGGTCTTATTGCTTGGCATCAAGGATCGCGAGGTTTGTTTCCACGTCTCTCTTTCTCTCTCTCAGTCTTGCTACACTATCCCTTTATATGTTGTAGGGGCCTACCCAAGGGCTATCTTCTGACTGTGGCTGGACTCAATATTGACGTTCGCCACGTGCTCCTTGGACTGTTTTCATGATTCGGAATTCGGAACCTGGGCACGACGAGAGACGACATGGCTAACAAGACAACCCCCAACAGGGCTACCTTTCGTTCTGGAACGACAACATCTCCTATGCTCTTCGTGGATGCATTGTTCTCGAGCTGGCCTTCCGCGGCCGCATCAGCATGCAAAAGGACTCTTCCCGGCGGCGCTTCCCCTTGGCGGACCGAATTATCGAAGTCATTGACGACACTCTAACGGGTGAGGTATTGCTAGACGAGGCCCTGAAGATGATGAAGACGAGCGAAAAGATGAGCGTCAGCTCCTGGATTGACTTGATGAGCGGTACGTGTTTGCGTTACTGCCCCATTTCCATTCCCCCCATGTCTATCGTGCACACGCAAGCGGTAGCAAACGTGCTGACATGACCTGTTAATACCACAGGCGAAACCTGGAACCTAATGAAAATCGGCTACCAACTCAAACAAGTCCGCGAGCGGCTCGCAAAGGGTCTGGTCGACAAGGGCATCCTGCGCACGGAAAAGCGCAATTTCCTACTGTTCGACATGGCCACACACCCCGTGGTCGAGGGCGCCGCCAAGGAGGACATCCGACGGCGTGTGCGCAACGTGCTGACGCAGCGCACCGTCGTGCTCACCCCGACCCAGTACCTGCCCGAGGACCTCGAGTTCCGGTACGTGCGGACAATCGCCATGGTGTGCGCGGCGCACGCGGCCAACGTGCTCGAGAACGCGCTGAGTACCCTTGGCCACGAGGCGAGGGAAAACGCCTTTTCCATGGCGGACGAGCTGTTGTTGCAGTATAGCCAGTGGCCGTTTGCGGCGAGGCCGTTGCCTGGTGGGAATGGTGGGGTGGGGGCGAACTTGCCGCAGGTTATTAATGAGGTACGTTTGTTGATCTCTTATCGAGGAGGTTCCGGTAGGAGGGGGAAAAAACCCAAAAAAAAAAAAAAAAACCAAGAAAAAACAACCCCCCCCCCCCCCCCCCCCCCCGGGTGGACTATACAAGCGAGAACTTTAGCTAACATATACTCCCCCAAAAAAACAGGAGGTCAACAAAGCAAAGGACAAGGAGCTCCAGCTCGAAGTCGTGGCGGCTTGCTTGAGCGTATTCACTCGCCTTGACTCCCTGCTCTAGATGGCGCACGGGAATTGTGAGAAAGCAAACAGCCCAGCCATTGAGACCAAGCGTGGGAGACACCCCGAAAAGCGAGAATGATAATGATGTGTTGTGCTGAGTGAAAGTCGGGGGAAGGAAGCCTTTTTTCACGATCACGAACAAGGGGTGGGTGGGCGCTGGATCTTCGAGCGAGCGAACGGGCAAGGGTCAGTCAAGGCCGGCCTTCCTGATCCAACACGGAGGACGCAGCGCATTTTACCTGATTCACTATCACACCAGCAAAGCAACCGCGCAGAAGGGCCTACTATTTACTTAATATCTTCACCTCGTCTCCTTGTATGGTAGGGTAGGTATGATGATGAACATTTTTTTTAATTTCCCTCTTTTGGTCTCCCAACTTACTCTCTTCGCGGTCGAATAGGAGGGCTGGTTGGAGATGGTAAGAGGCCTGGGGTTTACTTGAAGGATATGAGAATTGGTGGTTAGGCAGATGCCGATGGACAATGAGGCGAAGCGAAGAAGTGAAGATCAAAAAAAGAAAGAAAGAAAGAAATATGACAATGAAGGGATGAGTGCGTCGAATGGGGCGAAAGCGTAGTGGTCTTAAGTGGTCTTACACATTGATTGATGCTGCACGTTTTCTGTACGTCTACACCTCTTACTTTATCATAGAAGTAATGGAATATGAACAGGATTAGGTTAGAGAAAGACGGCGCCGGTAACCCCATGGCAACCAAAACAGCCAAATTTTCAGTGATTGGTACGAAAAAAGACATATGCTTTGTTCAGTCGTTTAGCCAGATGTGTACCCTGACTTTAAATCCTTGTCATCTAGCTATAATTCACTCCGCTATGAAGCTCTTCACCTCACATATCGAACAGCAACAACCCACTCCATACACACATACACACATATATATATTTATAATGTCATGGCGACCTGTAGATCTCGTCTAGGCCGTAGGGTGATTTACGAGCCTCCTCTTTGAAGCATTTCCAGCTCAACCGAGACCGATCCTGTTGTTCCTGTTTAAAAGTAAATTATAGTGCGAACTCCCAAAACCCGTTCCATCCATCCCCTGTACCAGGAAAGGAAAACCGAAAAGCAAAGCGAGACTGATGAAAAAAAAATGAGAATCCCAGCAACAGCTTCCTATGCATCGACGCCGTCGTCCCCTTCTATACAAGTATATCCTGCCCTCTTGCTATAAGAACAACTCCACATAGCCAATCATACAGCCCCCTCACTCCCTCTTTCCTAGCATACACACACATCTGATCCCATTCTGGACCATACACCCTAGAGAGAAAGTCTCTCTTCCTCACTAAGCCGCGCGAAGTGCGAACATCCATCCCTTCACACTTACTTGGCAGCGTCCGCAACCTTTGCATCCTTTTCAAAAATCCCATCCATACTCCAATCCCCCGCCTGCGCCCTCTTGAGCACCTCCCGTCCCTTCTCCGTCAGCGCCGGTTTACCGGCCTTATCGGTCGCCGTCACGAAGAAGACAGGCTGCCAGCTTTCCCCCTTCTGTTCGCGCTCGCGAGCCTTTTCTCTTTGGGCCTCCTCGAGCTCCTGCTTCAGCGTCGTGGCGCGAGAAAATTGCTTGGCAAGGATCGCCTCTGTCACTTTACCCCAAAGGGTGAGGGACTCGTTGGGGAGTTGCTGCTCGGTAGGGGGGAGGACCTTGGGGGCCACGGAAAGGGGGGCGATATCGATTATGGTTGTTTGTTGATCAGGAGGGTGGGATTCCTATGGAAGGGGGGGAAGGGAGTATTAGTACGGGTGGGATGGAATTGGGGGAGGTGAACATCATGACGAAACTTACCAAAGGCTTGGGACCAACGGTAAAGACCACCTTCTCCTTCCAAGGACCACCGAGACGCACCAGAATGTCCTCCTGCGGTACATCCTTGATCTGCATTTTGTCGTCGTTTTCAGGGTCGTACTTGAAGATGATTCCCTCAACCTTGTTCGTGGTCCGGCCCAGCCAGCCGTCATCGTAGTAGCGGAGAATCGCCTTGAGCTTCGTTTCCAGGCAGGTAATATAGGCCATATCGCCGACCGTGACGCTTAGCGCACCACGGAGGATACCTCCAAGGTGAGCAGGAGGATGTGTCAACTGGTATGTCTCGTGGTTCCTCTTCTCCAGCGTGATGAAAATGCCAAGATTGTGCTCGCCGGGCATCACCTTGATCGAGGTGCCGGTGAACTTGGCTGTGATCTGGTCGAAACCCTTGGCGTGCAGGCCCTTCTCTGGGCAGTCGATATAGAACGCGCTGACGGGAGGGTGGTGAGACGTTTGCTCGGTCAGGTAGGAGATCCTGACGGGTTTCGACGGCTTCGGGTTCGTGGCGGGCACGGATACTGTAGATGCGGCGCGGGAGCTGCCGGATTTGACGCTCGAGGGCCGGCTGATGGTGTCCTCTACAGCCTTGGTGTTGATCCTTGGGGCATCATCATCTGTTTCCCAGTTACACTAGGCAATCCGTCAGCTTTTTGCCGCCCTCTGATCGAGGGTTGAGAACTTACCCTGAAGAACTCCCCCAAGCAAGAGTTATATGGCTTGCAAGGCTTCCCCTTTGCATATTTCAGATCCTTGGTGAACCAGAACCGCAGCACCTCCAGCATACGATCGACCGGTTCGTCTGCGGTGCCAATCGCAACAAAGGCGTTCGGCGCATCGAGATAGTTCCAGTATTCGAGGTTGGGTGTTGGCTCGAGAAGCTGCGAAGGAAGAGAGAAGCGTACAGAGGCGAGATCGGCGACACCAATGAATCTAGGTGATGGGGACATACGGGGTTAGCAACTGTATCGTCGTATTGAAGGCCGCCAAGACACCGCTTTGGGCAATGACACCAACATCGCCGGTGTTGGGCTTGCGCATGCGCAAGTCTTTCACATGATGGCAAGCAGGCACTTTTCAACCCTTGGGCGCGAAGCTTGCTTTCCCCATGCGCGCGTCTGGTGGCTACTCACTTTCTTAGAATGGAGAGAAAGGTCGACAACTTGTTTCCATCGCTCGGATGTTCCTCGGCCGCAGGAGCACTACCATCTGCGGGCACGGCAGCGGGAGCTGGCGACCTGCCCGTGAATGCGGAAAACATCTCAAAGTCTTTCCCAATCAAAGTCTTCCTCCGCTGGTCGATAATTGGTGACGATCAAATCGGGCTTCGTCTTTGGGGTCCGACACCGGACGAGTCTCGTTCGATGGAGCGGGTGGGAAGAATGGGCAACAAGGAGCCTTCGGTGTGTCGTCGCGAAGAGGCGATCGGTGAGAAAGTCGCTGGGTGCTTTTGATGGAAACAAGTCCCGGTCAGCTATTTCGGTAGTAGACCTAGATGGAAGGTAGGTACACGAAGGTTGAATGCTCTCCAAGACAGAGGACGGAGAGACATCGATGCACCTACCTCTCTGCTATCGGCCGTGTATGATAACTGTCGGAAGTTGTTGGGATTCAGGAGTCGCCTCAGGTTCCGCCACCGGCGTGCTTGGGAGTTTTAGCGGTGCAGCAACAACAGAATCATGACAAAAAAAAGATCCAATACGAGCACCTCGACCGCGGCGCCTTGGTGATTCACTGTCTGGCTGGATGGGATCCAATGGTCTTCGGTTGGCCTGACTTTAGGGGCGGGCGGCGATGGGGGCGGACAGCACGTCGGCCAATGCGCTGACGTCCTGCGCCGTCACTGATAAGCGATAAGACAGGGGTGTGGACCCGCTACTTTTCCAGAGCCTCGACTGCCCGCACTTTGTCTCTCCTGGTCCCGTCTCGCAGGGGTCAAGCACCGATGCCAGAGAAGACGCTCGGCTTCAATGGGATAAGCGTGGAGCGGTCAACAAGCACTTGTATCCGTCCAATGGTTTTTGTTGGGTTTGTGGAATATCTTTACTGCTTCTCTTCACCGTCTATTATCGCCTTTCTGTACCCCTATCTATCTTCCCGGACGGTGAGGCAGCGAAAAGGAGGTGGTAGGTATATAGTGACGACGTCCTTCATATGAAAGCGTCCAAACTCAGCACTCTTGTTACGCTGGACCACACTTGCCAATTCCAGTTTTCATCCATCCTTGATCGGCCAATCAATTTGTCACGAGTTAGACTTGAGGCTGATTAGTGGCAGATGTCCATTTGTTGGGTGGCCATGTTCGTCACAAGGTCAATTACATCCGAACTTCTTCATCATTGAAACTGTTGGTATTGAGCACGTGCATACACGGATCATCCGTCGTAATGCTACTGTGTTGAAACAGCACTTGCTTTCTGTATTGGTAGTGAGTGAACCTTGTCTTCATATTCTTGATGATTGATTGCGAAAACTCAAGAACAAAGATGGGTTATTAGTGATCTGAGGGTGTCGAACGTATATATCTTCGTTCCGGGCTGAGCTCAACTCTTACGTGCCATCACGAATAGAGTATTTGCAAACGTCCTCCGGTAACTATGAGTGTCAGCGAACAACCTCACCTTTACACATACCTAGCCTCTTCGTCCCAGTTGGCATCCATGATCTCACAGGTCTCACGAAGGAACCCAACAGCAAACAGCTTGCTCTGGACTCCAGAACCTACAATGTGAGCAAGTGTCCACGCACATGCTCAAAATGAGACAGTCCGATTATTTTCTCTGGTGATGCTCCATTAGTATCGTAACAACTTGTCTCTCACTCCCACCCTCCTACAAATATACCCTCCCGTTTCACATCTAGCCTGCTGGTCATTGGCTTAGACCACCAATTCACCATAAGCTCTCCATTACCTCATCAAGATTACCAATCACTCCATCCTCAAACACGCAAAAACAACCGTCGCCATCTTATCATTCGCTTTCGGCTCGGAGCTCGTCTCACAAATAATCCTTGTCAGCGATTGCCCTGGTAAAGCGTCGCAAACGAAAAAGCTGGATGATTTTAATTTCCTTACAGGCAGGCAAGGCCATGCCAGGCCAGGCAAATGAGGCCCAAAGCAATGAGGGGGAAATCGTCTAAAGGGTGTACTAAGACTGTTAACAAATCAAC